GAGAATTGGTTTTATTTTTTCTTCTTAATTACAGATTCTGAAATGCTGAAGGAAGGTGTTTCAAGATTCACAAGACAAGAGCTAGAATTGGCGTGAGAAGACTTCAGAAGAATCATTGATTCTTGTGAAAATAGTCAGGCTTACAAGGAACGATCAAAGGCGGCGGGACTGAGATTGCAGTGATCTCTGTCTGCGTTAAACAAGAAGATTGGACTGGATATTATGAGCTTTATTTCCAGAGAGAGGTCCTTATTCTTCTTATGATTATCACTCACTCACTTGTAAGAAAACATCAGAAAAATCCTGACTGTTGGTGATTTCATTGTTTCAGGTTGCGGATTTGGCTAGATTACACCATGAAAATGTAGGGAAGTTACGTGGATACTGCAAAGAGAAGGCACCGTTTCCCAAGAGTGCTTCTTTTTGAGTATTCATCAAACGGGACACTATACGAGCACCTCCACTGTAATAATATACAATCAAACGTCTTCCTTAAGCTCTGTTTTGAGTTTACACTAGTATGGGTAGAGTTAGCTGGTAATATGTTTGGTATAAGGGAATTTCTTTTGGCATACTCTTGATTTCAGTTTGTTATATGTTGGATCTTCACTAAAATGAGCTTAAGTATCATAATATGTTCTTAAAAGAAAAGAAAAGAATTTTCTAGCGTTTCCAATATGTTTCTCGGTTGAATACTTACTTATCAGATTGCTTCCAACATGACTGCAATGATCTTGCTGTCTTCACTTTCCCTGCAACGCTTCAACAAATCTTTACAATCATTGAATACTTTGGAAATCAATTTCTGATTTGGATGCTTCCTCAGCTCAGGGTGACCTTTGACTAATTCCAACACCTCTCTCATATAATGGAGCCTGGCCCCCTTGTCTTCTCTGTCGAGCCCTGCTGCAAGGTGTTGAAGAAGGGAGATCAACACTGGCAGGCTGAGAGAAAGATCGGCGAGGGGTTTATGGATCTGCAAGCAGATCCATGGTGCCAAAGATACGTCTCTTGCAGTTAGGGCCAACTCAAAACCCCCCTCGAAATTGAGATCTTCGATCATCTTAGAGGCACGGTGACGTACAAGCTCAAGCACAACCTCCTTTTGATCAGTAGTCTCATCCCTTGAAAGGTCCATCTCAGCTTTAGCTTCATCCTCAATGACCACCATATCAGCTGCTTTGTATTCTACGGTGGTGGTTGAAGCACCGGCTTTGGTCTGTAGAAGGGATTCCAACATGACTGCTCTGCTTTTGCTTTGGCCTGTGTAATTCTTCAAACGACATGTCACATCCTTCAATACGTTTGAAATCCATTCCTGATTTAGATCCTTCCACTGCTCACGGTCCAGTTCCTTGACCACCTGATGCATGAAAGTCAGATTGTCCTGACTGGGGTCTAAGAAGAGAGCACGAGAAAGGTGGTGGAGAAGGGTCAGCAAGAGGTCCTGCCCCAAAGAAAGATCAGCCACGGGTAAAATAGTCTTGGTGCATAGCCATGGTGCTAAAAGCGACCCTTCTTCTCTGAGTGCTAAACTGAAAGCTGCTGTAAAGTCCCTTTCCATCATCAACTCCCAAACACGCTCCTTTAGAGCTTCTTCTTTGGGGCTTTTCTCAGAATCCTTCTCAGTGGTCAGAGGAATGTTCTTCTTATCTTTGGCATCGGTCACAAGAGCTTCTTCTTTGGGGCTTTTCTCAGAATCCTTCCCTATGTCCTTCTCATCTTTGGCATCTACACCCTCCGACTTCTTCTCAGCCACCTCAATAATCTGATCTTCAGCCACAATGGCCCCACTTTTACTCCTCTCTCGGTAAGCTTGGATGATATTGTTGCTATTGTCCTCAGTGACCATCTTCGCTTCATCCTCAGTGACAATCACAGCTTTCGTCTTCATCCCAGCAGCCTCAATGAACTTCTCAGATTCGGCTTCTACCACCTCTCTTCTCCTCTTCGCCTCCTCTATCCTCTCTTTACTCTTCTTACTAGAGTGTCGAAGGTAACCTTTCATCACATCGTCTGTCTTGTCCTTTGCTAGTTTTTCAATCTTTTTAAGGCAGACAAGCCAAGACTTCTCTTCAGGACTTCCCTCTTCAAATTCTTTTCTGTGGTTATGCAAATCCGCAATAGTGAAGAATTGCTTCAGGCAGCTAATGAATTGTTTCTCAACCCAATCAATCATGTTTTCGTCAGGTATGTGTAAGAACTTATCAATCGACGCAATGGATTCAACAAAAACAAACGCGTTATCCTCATCCTTATCCTCATCGGAGAAATTCACATATACTTAGTGACCAAAACTCAGAATTCATGAACCTCTCAGTTCTCAGCGAATATGAAAACCTCGTTTTGTAATTTCATCAACTCCAACTCGCACTTAAAATCATCGCGAAAACTCACTTTCATTGATAATCAGTCAATCAATCAAGTTCATCGGAGAAATTCACGTATACTTAAGTGACCAAAACTCAGAATTCATGATTCTTTCTCTCTCTCTCTCTCTCTCTGTTCTTTCTCTTTGGCGCTCTCAGATTGTTTACAAATTTCAAAAACTTATTAAGACGAAATGGGCCGCTTACTGGGCCTCTTACTGGGCCTTTCTTTCCCATTTTACCACGACTTGGTTATTTTTCGGGAAAACGACCTATTTCCCCACGAGAACTATGACATAGCATCAGATCTCCACGGAACTATGACCCCGTTCCAGATCCCCACCAACTGAAAGTTCTCTTTCCGAATCCCCACGAGAAAATAGTTCGAAACCTATGTCTCCATTGGCCTCGGTTCTGATCGGTTCTCTATGGTTTGCGATCTAAACCTAAAACCAAACTATCTATAACCGAAACCAAACCGAATTAAAGACCCGCCTCGTGACCCGTTGACCCAAAAAACGAAACAAAAACCCCCAATTCGATTTTCTCAAAACCTAAGAACCCTAAAATCGATTTCGTGAAATTGATTGCTCTAATCACAAAATTGGTGATGTATGGAGGCTTAAGTAATGTATCAGAGGTTCGATTGGATCATCAACTTCACTGCCAACAAGAAGAAGAGTTGTTGGTGTTCCTAAGAGATGTTGGTGTGGTGAGCAAATTCTGGGTTTGATATCCAAATCCTATCAGTCTATGGTGTTTGTAATGACATGGTGTTTGCTAGCTTAATGACAATGATTTGGGGTTTTCAATGATACTTGTGGGTTTCTTGCATTTTTTATTACAAACTACTTGATGCTTTTACATCGAAAAGGATGAACAACATAGAAAATGCTTAAAAACCGTTTCATTGAGCTCATAATCCATTACCAAAAGCATCTCAATAAGATAAGTAGAAAGTAGCCTAAATCAAACACCAAAAGCATCCTACATTTGTGTTCATACACAGCCGAGAGCCATTAAAAAAAACATAAAAAGAGCTCCATGTGATCCTTCTATTGCTTCCTACATCTGCTATGTTGCTTGAGAAGATGGAGCTTGAGTGAGAGTCCCTTGAGAGGATTCAGCTTGAGTGAGATTCGCTTGAGAGGCTTCTCCTTGACCCTGAAAAATGGAAACCGCAACATACATTACAAACCACAAACCAAAGGAGAAAGAGTTTTAACGCATATACAAACCTTGTTAGAATCATTCTTGTGTTTCCTTGAGTTATGGTTTGCATCTCCACAAACTCCACAATGCATTATCCTCTTTTTAAGCTTTGGTGCCTTCTTGGTTGGAGACTCATTAACTCCTCTTTTTCTTTTGTGGTCGGCTTTGGTTGTCTTTTTACTCTTGGATTGATCCACCAACTGATCCACCGATGGATCCTTTGATTTATCCTCCGATTTATCAGGTACAGGAGGAGGATGGACCTTTGGAGCACCTGTTGTTGGCCAAAACTTTATACCTCTCACTGGAATAGGCCCTTCTTCATAGTTTCTCTTCCACGTCGCTGTGCGGAACCAGTGACAAACATAATCCTCAGGTACCTTCACTTTCACCATTATCACTCCATATGCATGCTTGCAAGGAATTCCGCAAATTTCAAACTTATGGCAGCTGCAAGTTCTCCGATCCAAGTTTACACGGTAAGGACAACCATCTAGCTTTGCTTCATAGTACCCATTAGTGGCTGCAGTGACAATACATTTAGAAGCTTCTTCGTGCTCTTTTTCAAGAAACTTAGCAACATATGGTGTACAAATCCCTGAAACATAACCAGAAACCGTCAAGTCAGCAAGTGCAAACTTAAAGGAAAACCTTTGTAAGACTTAAAGTAGAACCCAAAAATTAAAGACATACCATTGTGACCATGAGATTTGGCCGATCTCTTGGCAATACGTGCCATAGCCAATCTTCTTATGGTCTCTAGCATTGGAACAAATGCCTTCCCTCTAGCCTGTTTTATTGTCTTGTTAAACGACTCTGTTGAGTTGTTTTCCACGTCTTCACAATAGTTACCTTTCTTGTAGAAAGCTCTGCACCAACTCCTGGGATTTTGCTTCATCACATCATTGTACACACCACTGTCGTAATTGAATAGCCTGTCCAAGTTTTCCAGAAACTCTGGTTCATTGTAGCTCCATGCCAAATTCCATATGTAAGGCTTCATGTGTTTTTTGCTTGGATGCTTTTTCTTCAAGTTCCCATAGATGTGTCTGACACACATTCTATGCTCAGTTTTTGGTAACTCTACTTGAACCGCTTTGATCAATCCCTAGTCAAAGAAAATACACCATCAAACATAAAAAATTCGCAAGCCATGAACTAACAAAACGCAAACAATAAGGAATTCAAAGATAAACAAATAAGTCTATATAGTTACCTTTTGTCGATCAGAAACAATGATGTATTGATCACCATCATTAAGTTGCAAATCGATCTTCAACTTCCTCAGAAACCATTGCCAATTGTCAAAATTTTCCACTGAAACTACACCCCAAGCTACAGGGTATATCCGATTATCTGCATCTCTACCCATAGCCACCAATACAGTTCCTTTAATTTTCCCTGAGAAGAAGGTGCCATCAAGACCTAGCAATGGCCTACAAGTATTTTTCCAGGTTCTTCTGATGACATCAAAGCATACATAAAACCTATTAAACACATCTTGACCTTCCGCATTTGTCAAACAGTCAACCTCCACAGTCGAATCTTTGTTTGACTCTAGCAACTCAGCAGCATAATCTCGGAGACGGGAAAACTGCTGATCATATTCCCAATCAATCCACTTCAATGCATTATTCCTAGCTGCTTGACATTGAGGCCTAGATACAATTATACCCCATTTTTGAATCTGTTCTTCAATCTTCATTGGCATGTAGTAACTTGGTTCCTCTCGGATTTTATCTAAAAATAGCCTAGCAATCACAGGAACCTTAATCATCTCACACTTCCCATTAGGAACACATGTATGTGTATCTATGAACTTCCTAACTCTCCACATGGGATCACTTGGAAGTGTTGAAGCATATACTTGCCACTTACAGTCTTCACCATTAACTTTACTACCACCACCAACACATTCAAACCCTATCTTATCTTATCATACCTGTATTGCTTCAGATTTCGTTTGCTTTTTAGTGCATAGTCAAGAACAGCTTCTTTGAAAGCAACTCCATTGAAGAAGGTCTGGTCTTTGTACAAATGGCCATCAGGTCCATCACCACGCCTGATATGAGGGGTTCGCTGTCTTCCTACAAGAGGTTCGCCTTCCTCTGCTTCTTCTTCACTATCACTCTCAGTCTCTGGATATTCGTTGTGAAGAATCGATGGCTCGTCTTCGAACTCCTCAACAAGTTTCTGCACAAAATACTGATCTCTGTCTTCTAATTCATCATCAAAATCTTCTGCGAGATTCTCATGAGGAACGACAACAGACATTGTGTGATTTAGGGTTCTAGGCTGTATGGAAGTTTCTGATTAGGGGATATCTAGCTTAGGGTTCACGGTTGGGGGAATCTAGAGTTAATCGGTTTAGCAAACCTGGTTAAGTTGTAAGCGGGTCATAATCAGGTCATAATCGGGTTTTATTGGTTCATAATATGGTTTGGTGTCGTGTTTATGTTGGTTAATATGTCTGGTAAGTAGAGAACCGATCAGAACCGAGGCCAATGGAGACATAGGTTTTGAACTATTTTCTCGTGGGGATTCGGAAAGAGAACTTTCAGTTGGTGGGGATTTGGAACGGGGTCATAGTTCCGTGGAGATCTGATGCTATGTCATAGTTCTCGTGGGGAAATAGGTCGTTTTCCCTTATTTTTCTTTTCTCCCTCGCAAAACTTTTGTTCTCGCTCTGCAATTATAAAAAAAAAAAAAAACTTTTAAATCCGCGAATCTGGGAGTGAGAAAAGGTACTCGTATAATCGAATTCCTTCTTCCGTTGGTATCTCTCCTCGAAATGGACATTTAGGGGTTCGTTTTCCATTGTAGTTCCAGGCTGCTGGACTTCTAGATTCCTTCTCTGATTCGTTCTTTAGTTGGTATTGGGGTTCTTCCATGTTTCTTTTGCTCATTAGGTGTTTGACAAAATGCCTAAGTGAATCTCATACACGCTTTTACGGCTGAAAAGATTCAAAATTTCTTTTGTAAAAGGTTAGGAGCTTGGTTAAACTTATTTAGTTTTAAAGAATAACTCCACGGTTGTTGTGGAAAAGTTATAAGAACAGAATCTGTAGAAACTTGCTTTCCTCAGATAAACCAAAGGCTTGACTCGTTGACACTTGACATACAGGGTTTTAGCGTATCTTCATCATGGGTATGCTTATAATGAATCCTGTATAGAATGTATTTCGTAGAGAGCTCATTTTATAGTCTCACTCGTTGCTTGTTCCTCTCAGGGGCAATGCTAAGCCGCAGGAAGATATTGCACTTAAAGGTAAGTCTCTACTAAATTCTTTTCAAGTTAATCTCATCACTGTACATGTGTTTATACCACTTCTCATAAAGAGCCATCTGAGACTTCTCAACTGAATGAAGTTGGACTTCACAGTGGTACCGAGAAAGGTTTTCTCTTTGATATTACTTTTTCAGAAGAGTGGGAGTAAAGGGTAAACAGTTACTTCCAAAAACGCCATCGCGGCTGAGAATCTCTGAAGGTGCAAACTTCATTTTGTTTGAAATAAGAGCTCTTTGATACAATTGTAAGTAATTTTACTTGTGTTGTCTCCTTTTTAGTGTTCACTAGTTAAAGCCTCTTGGATTATCTTTTGCTTATGAAGGTTCATAAGATGAGACTTGAAGAAAGTGAGTCGAAAATACTTCAACAGCTTATAGATGCTATTGTTCACTGTCACTGCAAGGGTGTTTACCACCGTGACCTAAAAGTGAAGCCATTTAACAAAGTTTCCTTGGAACATTTCTGATTTCTGATTTAGTAAAAGAAGTAAGAGAGCAAAATGGATGGATGGAGATGGAGCTGAAGGAGATACAAGAGAGATATATTATCATCATATTCAGAGGTAAGTCTAAGCTTTAGAGTAGTTTTATCATTGGCCATAAAATCCATTTCAAGAATCAATTCTCAAATTTTGGAAAATCAAATTACCTACCTTACAAGACTCAAAAACTAATTATAATAGTTTTTATTTCTTTTACATACACAGATACACTTAGTCTGTTAGTCATGTAAATTCCACAGTGAGAGGTAGTGTCTAATCTAAGGTTTTAGTGTGAAAAGAAAAACAATTTGGGCCCATTGGTAAAGAAGATGTTTTTGGGCCCGTCCGTGCAAATTTTTATTTGCAGATGATATAAAATATTTAGGTGTAACAGTTGATTCTGAATTAGTGAATTGTGCTCTCTCCTCCGTCTAGGGTTTTCTGCTTGAAATCTTTATCATCGTCATGGCATCGTCTCCTAGTGATACCAAGGCTGCTAGCCAAGTTGCTAAAGGTAAGTTAGCCCTTCTTTTTAATAACCCTCAGGAAGATGGACATTGCCCACGCTTGGTGAGGCCAGCCGATTTCAAACCGTCCGGCTTGGTGACGCCTAACGATTTCAAACCGTCCGGCTTGGTGACGCGCTTGGTGACGCCAGCCGATTTCCTACTGTCCGGCATGGTGACACCAGCCGATTTCCTACCGTCCGAGGAAGAAAGAGGAGATGTTTTGAAGCAAGTGGGAGATCTTTTGAAGCTAGTGGAGAAGATGCTTGATGGTGGTCAGGAGACTCGGGAGGAGTTGGAGAAACCAAAATCTTAGACTAATCAAGTCTTTTGTTTCATCTTCTTATAATTTTATTTTATTGCATAAGAATAAGATCGTAGGAGTCCTCTCTGTTCAGATACGAACATGGTCCTTGCTGCTTTATGTTCTTAGTTGTTTCCGGAATTACAAAAATAATAATAAAGTATTTGCATTTGGGTCGTTTTTTACCGTCTCTTGTCTTGTGCTTGATTGCTGAGAAGAAGTTAGGTTAATTTTGTATTTTCTCCATTGATTGTTAGCCTCTTATCAGATAAGAAACACGCATCCAGCGCAATCACGTTTTCTTAACACATACTAGGAACATCTCTTCTGTTTCCTCAGGATAAAACTGATTATGACCATGTTAGATAATGTTGCTCTGGAGCTCATGTTTGCTCCAATTGTTGGCCTTTAATGACAGTTGCTATCAAGCTCACTGATACTTCCGTAACAAGTACAAAACTAGTGTTTGGTGGCTCTGTCCTCAGATTTGCATCTCTCTGAGTTTTTGTTATACGTTCGTTATATCTTGGAAACTCACAATGCTGTACACAATAGATAGTCTTTGCCAATGCACATGACTGTTTGGTCTTTTTTTTTATAAAAAGAACGTGTAGTCACTCATTTTGGTCAGAGTATTTTGGTTTCAAACACATCAGGACATCGTGGAGCTCACTGTTGGGTTTGTGATGCTAAAGCTCCTAGGTGAAACCATTACTCAACTCATCCCTAACACCGTTGCCCATGTCTCTTTCTATCTTCGGCGTTATGAAATCAGATTGTGGTTTTTTGTTGGTGTCTTCTGGTAATTCAAAGTTTAGTTATTGTTTGTTTATGTTACACATGGAAATGAAAACGATGCAAGAAAAGTTGCTCGTATGGGTCATTCTCTTCATCCGTTCCTTGCGTATAAGTTTCTCCATCACTTTTGCCTTTCTTTTCTGCTACTAATTTTCATCTTGGCCCTTTTCAGAAGGAATTCTTTGAGGGTCAGTTACAAGCAACTCAAATCACCTTTTTGCCTTTCTAGTTCTAAAATCTCTATTTGTGCTACTAATTTTTTCCATCTTGGTCTTTTCAGGAGATCTTGTATGTGGATTTTCTCTAGGATTTCCTTGAAGGTGGGTTACAAGCAGACTCAAAGTATGGCAATTTTCTCTAGGATTTTCTCTAGGATTTCCTTGAAGGTGGTAGATACTTGTTGTGATGAATCACTTTCTGCAATTTTTTCTTCTTCTATCTTCTGCGTTATGAAATCAAATAAAATCCTGCAGGTTGACTATTGAACAAAGCTCATCAGTTGCTGAATACATCCGCGTTTATAAGGTCCTGTTTCTCAAGCGCTAGATTGTGGTTTATTTGTTGGTTTCTGGTAATGCAAAATTCTCAGGAGCCGATGTTTGCTCCAACTATTGGCCTTTAATGACTTTTGCTATCAAAGTCATTGATTCCTCCTTAAAAGGTACCACAAAGTGAAATACAACTAGTGTTTTGGTGGTTGTCCTCAGATTTTCCATCTCTATGAGTTTTTGTTATTACGTTTCTGTATCTTATAGTTTAACTTTTTCAATACTGTACACAATAGCCTTTGTAGTGTCAAGACTATTTGGTCTTATTATGACACAGTTGCTATCAAAGTCATTAATTCCTCCTTAAGAGGTACTACAAAGTTACATACAACTAGTCATTAATTCGTCTTGGAGTTGAACCTCGAAGGTGAAACCATTACTGAACTGATCCCTAACACTGTTGCTTGCTCATTTCTCTTTGGTATGAATCACTTTCTGCATTATCTCATCTTCTGCTTTATGAAATGAAACTCTTTTGTGATAAAATCCTGCAGGTTAACTAATGAATAAAGATCATCAGTTGCAGAATACTTCCGTGTTTATAAGGTGCTGTTTCTTAAGAGCTAGATTGTGTTTTATTTTTTTGGTTGCTTCTGGTATTGAGAAATTCTCTTTAAGTTTAGCTATTGTTTGTTTATGTGACACAGGGAAATGAAAACAATGCAAGAAAAGGCGCTCTTATGGGTCATTCTCTTCATCCGTTTCTTGCGTATGGGTTTCTCCATCACGTTTGTCATTATGAATTTGAAAATCACTATTTCTGCTACTAATTTTCCATCTTGGGCTTTTCAGGAGATCTGCTATGTGGATTTTCTCTAGGATCTGGATTTCTTTGAGGTGAGATACAAGCAGACTCAAACTATATTCTCAAGCAAAGAAAAGTGTGAGAAGATACTTGACATGATTTCAGATGAAGGTATATATATATTTCCAGCTTATGTGAGGTCCAAATCTCAGTTTGGGCATGTACAGATATTCAATCAGACCTCAAAGAAAAGTGGGAGAATTCTGCGAGATCATCTCTTTCAGAAGAAGCCACTATCCTTACAAGGTGGGAGCAGCTTAAAAAATCGCTTCTCTTCAAGAAACAGAATGTAAAAGAGGCTTATTTCTCTTTCGCTCAGCTTTTAGCTTTGATGAACACCTTGAATCCCAGAGATTTGCTCATTTTCAGTCTCGTACCAATTGTTTCAGGCTCCAGACTGCGGATGTGCGTAGAAGAAATTGTCTTCACCTTCACGTACCTCGAATTGATTTGGAGGTTTGTCATAATACAATTTTCATAAACATGGGAAACATTACCTGATTGTATAGTTAGTTGTCCTGAGTGTTGATTTTTAAATACTATATCACAATACCAGTTTGATAAGTAAGAATCATGTTAATACTTTTGTCAATATATATGTGTGTAAGCTCAAATTCTTAAGAAATGTCTTGTGGTTTACAGGTCGGGTCTGTGTTCCTATCGACCCGAAGAAGTGCGATGAGTTTGATCCATTGGCAGTGCCAACACTTTCTCAGGTAAAAATAATAGACAATATGACACATTAAAGTGTGGATCATCACAAATATATTGTTTCTTGAGCTTATCGATAGTATTTCATTTTCTTACGATATTTTCAGCTAATAGAAGAAATCAACTCAGGAGGCCTCAAAATGGATGTGGATGATTATGCTGGTACGTTCTTGAATACTCTAATCAATATTCAAATGTTTTTACAGTTATTTTTTATACCTGCAGAGCCAGAGTCAGAGAGAAGTTTACTTGTGAAATCAGTCAGTTTCTTCAGATCCTCCTTCCTTGAACCTTTACTAAAGTCCTGCAAGGTAAATAAATCTCTCGCTGTTCGACTTTTCTCCACGGTTAAGAATCGATACATGATCATAGTAGAAATATATGTTGGAAGAGTGATGATGATATGATGTTGATGAAATGTGTGCAGGAAGACATAGAGAGTTCATACAAAACTAAGATTGACAAGACTAAGGATTCATTCAGCTGGTGACTAAAGTCTCGGATTTTGTTCTGGTTCGCAATCTTTAGTTTCGATTTCAGTTTGTAATGTTACGATCTTCACTAAATTTTATCATCTATCAGTAGAGAGTAGTCTCTATATACAGTATCTTGTTGTTAAGGTTGCTATAAATGTGATCCCATTTTTTTTTAATAAAGTTTGTCGATAAAAAATGTACCCCAAAACTTAGGATATCTACAATTAAAAGATTACTAATCCAGTCCACACTCATCATACAAAAATATAACACAAGAAGCCAGCTTGCCAAGTCAATATGCATTTCTGATTAACATACACTAGGAGACGATTTTGTTATATTAGCTAGTGGTGTCCGTCTAGGGTTTATTCAGCATGGCATCATCTCCTAGAGAAACCTGGGCGGCCGACTTGGAGAAAATCAAGCGAAAATATCGCGAATTTTGTGATCGCGAAGCTGCTCAAGCTAATCGTAGAGCTTTGTTAGCCCTTCTTTTTGGAAAACCTAAGGAAGATGGATATGGCCCTGCAGGCTTGGTGACGCGGACGCCAAAAGAAAGAAGATGTCCAGTGGAGAAGATGCTTCATGATGGTGTCAGGAGGCGGCGGAGAAACCAAAATCAGAGACTAATGAGTAAAGACTAATCAAGTCTTTGTTTAATTTTCTTGCATAACAATAAGATCATACGAGTCCTCTGTGTTATGAAATGTAGGAACATGATCCTTGCTGCTCTTAGTTGTTTCCGGAACTACAAAAATAATAATAATGAAGTCTTTGCCTTTGGGGCTTTGGGACGTTTTCTACCTTTCATCAAGACAATGCAGATAAGAAACACGCATACATGTCTCTTGTTTCCGATGTTAGGATATTGTTTCTCCGGAGCTCATGTTTGCTCCAACTGTTGCCCTTTAATGACAGTTGCTTGACAAGTAAAACTCATTTTTGAAAATCCTATTGTGATAGGGATTAGGAAGATTTACATTATTTGGTGTTATCAATAATGTCAATGTTAAACCCTATATATAATATGGCTCTTATGCTAACACAACTCAATAATATTACCTTCTATTATATTTAGGTGTAACAATTGATTCTGAATTGTGCTCTCTCATCCGTCTAGGGGGTTTCTGCTTGAAATCTTTATCATCGTCATGGCATCGTCTCCTAGTGATACCAAGGCAAAAAATTGCAAATTTGCTGCTAGCCAAGTTGCTAAAGCTAATAACCCTCAGGAAGATGGATATTGCCCACGCTTGGTGAGGCCAGCCGATTTCAAACCGTCCGGCTTGGTGACGCCTAACGATTTCAAACCGTCCGGCTTGGTGACGCCTAACGATTTCCTACTGTCCGGCATGGTGACACCAGCCGACTTCCTACCGTCCGAGGAAGAAAGAGGAGATGTTTTGAAGCAAGTGGGAGATCTTATGAAGCTAGTGGAGAAGATGCTTGATGGTGGTCAGGAGACTCGGGAGGAGTTGGAGAAACCAAAATCTTAGACTAATCAAGTCTTTTGTTTCATCTTCTTATAATTTTATTTTATTGCATAAGAATAAGATCGTAGGAGTCCTCTCTGTTCAGATACGAACATGATTCTTGATGTTTACCTTTCATCAAGACAGTGCAGATAAGAAACACGCATACATGTCTTTTGTTTCCTCAGGATATAACTGATTATGACCATGTTAGATGCTGTTTGCATGAATCTCAACATAAAGACCCATAGTAACTTAGCTTTCTCATTAAAACCACACACTTTTGAATGTTACAAAACAAACAAAATAGGATTAGTATTTTTTAGCGACAATACAATTAGTTTTATACCGTAAAATAGTGCTACCACACAAATCTAGTAACTAGATATAACTTAATGGATTCGGAGATCAAAGGTTGGGATCTCGGAAGTGAAACCATGTGAGAGGTAATAGAGAAGCCTCGGGAATATGTTTCTGTAAGGATCACTTTCTCTCTTCACCTTCAGGTAAGCCATACATCTTTCTACTTCTGACTTGACCTCCAAGTAAACCCCTTGAGCCTTGTCTTTATCGTTTAGCTCTTTCTCTCTACCTTTTGTTTCTATTGGTTTCCCAAAATAAACGTAGAACCGTCCCGGAATCTTTGGAATGATTCCAGGCACATGCAGATCTTGGTTTCCCACTTCGCCTTCTTCACCGTTCCTAGACCATATTATCATCACCAGATTCAGAATCAGAGATCAAATGTTATATAATAGAACGTTGACAAAAGATTGAAAAGGTCAAATACCTCAGCTTGATTGTGTCATGTGTTATCTCTTCTATGAGATTCTTCAGGAAAGGGATCTTCATTTGATCATTATAATCAAAAACCATCTGAGAAATCATTCAAGTACTCAAATTACTTTACTCGAAACCCGATTGAAAAGAAAAAAAAAAACTAGAACGGAGAAGAGATTTGGCTTACTTGACAGATATCATCTTCTCCAACAACGCCAAAAGGAACAATTTTTGCTCCAAATTTAGAAGCTAGCCTTACAAACTCTGAATGTTGTGGCCAAAACAACTTGTGTTCTTCACCCTACAGAAACGTGTTTTTCAAACTTTGTATGTAAAAAGTCTCACAAATCAACAAGAAACGGCCAAACATGGGAAATACAATCATTGGTTACCTTTCTGTGCAGAGCTTCACGGGCACCTCCAGGATACAAAACCACGTGAGCCTTTGAGCGAAGCAGTTTGTAGAAGTTCATGTTCGAGACAGGAACAGCGCCTATGATCCTAAGTGAATCGAACATCTGCATATCAGGGAGCATTGAGCCTTTCTTCTTGCTAAACATCATTGGATGTGCAAGTCCACGCAACATAATGTTCCTTTCTTTCAAGACATGGATTGCTGGTGGACGAAAGTCGAGACCAAGCAACAGGTGATTGCCAACATACAGAACCGGTCCCTCTGATGGTATTCCTGCAAGTGATCTTACCACTGTGCCGTTTTCTAGAGTTGAGAGATATACTGGAGATATAGCAGCGGTGAACCATCTGGACCACACAAAATAAAACTTCAGAAGCAGAAGGAGAAGCAGATACTATATTATAACAAAATACTTCATTGATGCGAGAACTGGCTTACCTTTGTGATTCTTCAAACTCTTTGAGCTCGAATGGAGTAGGCAAAATGTAATCCGAAATGTAATCAAGTTTCTTTCCACGACGATAAAAGTAGGCATGCTTGATGATAGTCGCCAAATCTACCCCATGTTCCTAACAAGACATAAATATTACTATATTAGATCCATAGAGCTGTACAATCTGAAAGTTTTCTATAATACAAAGCCAGAGACTCACTGACAAGAGAACCTTACCAAGAAGAGGAAGTGTCCATTACTCTCAAAATGACGGACTTCGCTTTTCGGCAGTGCACAACGGAGTTTTTCAATGTCTTCTTTGTTCAGTAACCATTGATCACGCCCACTGCAATAGCCATAAAGAAAAGCTACAGCTCAGCTTCCAGCTACTACAATTCTTTACAAACAACATATTGATGAACTTCTACTTATAGTTAATGACGATTGACGGAACAGACAAGTTTATGAACCTCAGTAGTATCAGTGTTTGGGCCTTGACTGTGTGCATGTGAGAGTTGGCAGATGCTGTAGCAGACTTAAGCAGTTGAAGCTTCCATAAAAGTGTGTCTTTGGGAAGTATCCTAAACAGAGTCTGTATATAATTTGTTTTCATGAGCTTGTCTCATGACACATTGCGAGTTAAACACTACGATCTGCAAGACAGAAACAACATGCATATATCCATTTTTTCCTAAATCAGTCTTACAGGCAGATTAGCTGAAGTTGCAAAGAAGTCTCCTAAGAGCCCTCCACACATCTGCGAGACATGAGTTTCATTCAGCATACTCTCAAACATTGTTGCAAACGGAAAACCTATATTAATTAGAAACAGTTAGCCCTGACTTTGAAGCAAAACCTAACTAAAAGGTTTTTGAGACAGAAAGTTTTGGACCAATATACGTTGATAAAATATAAGGAGGAGTTGAAGCTTCACCTTGTTTAAACCCAAAATTCTCTTCTATCAAGCTGGGAATTTTGTCAGGCAAGATTTCTAGTAGACCCGATAGAGGTTGCAAGATGAAGTTATTGAAACGTGTGACTGCATCAAACGTAGTCTACTATGAGTACAAGACAAGATGCATACATTTTATGAGATTTTACCCACAAAAAAAAGGAATCGTAAGCTACACGCTTTGCTCACTGACACATTTAAGCTTGCAACAAGAATGGCCAAGCAGTGTCCTTATACCTGGATTAGCGAGAATCAAGACAATATCAATGTCGGGGTTAGTCGCTGCAACATCTATAGCAAGACAAGCTCCAATGGATTCTCCAACTATATATATGGGCCTATTTGGTGAACGGAAGTACTCTGACCTAACTGTCCTCTCAATCAGTTTCACAATGTCTGCAAATGATACAACAGAAAGAGTTTCTTTCATCCACACGAGATTAATACGGATGGTTACAAAAACGGTAATGCGAGAACAAGAAAAGCACCTGGAGCAGGGGTTCGATCACTGACTGGAAAGTGAAGGCACCATATGTCAAACATCCTGTGAAAACAAAAGACAATGTGATGAGAAACAAAGAGTCTTTAAACTCTTAAGTAAACTCTTCTTTCTTGAAGTCAATTTTATCTAATTCTTAGTATCATTTCGAAGATTGCAATAATGCAGAGCCTATCTAAGGAGCTAAAGAAGATTGAATGAACAAGGAATCAAACAATTACTTACTCTCCAAGCCTCTTATGCTGCCGAATGAGTCCTAATCCAGTACCATCGATCCCTGAAATTTAATGTTTCTGAGTTTTGTTAACTAAAATTCATAAATTGATAGCAAAAGCAACAATAGCAAAATGATTATCAAAATGAGAATGACCAGGTATGTAGAGGAGAAGAGGAGATCCCGGAGCGCGTGCGCCACATTCCAACGGAGAGAACCACCGAGGCGGACCTCCATCTCCGCCGTCTGATCTCAATAAATCTTCAGCTTCCACCAGAAAATCCGCCAAACTCTTCCGCTCCTCTGGCTCCGCGTGCGAATACGGATTCACCGTCGCCGTCACTTTCCCTCCTCCCCGGAGACGTCCGGTGCTAGCGACAGAGGTCAGTTGTTTGGTTGACTTACGGTAGGAAAAATCGAGACTGAAAGCTCTTCTCGATCCTGAGGAACAGATTCCATCAGTAATGCGAACCGTGGTAATCGCCATTGACCAGAATTTTTTGAGATCGATGATGCTTCTCTCGGTAGAAGAACATTTATGTTGTTCTTCGACTTTATCTTCAAGCGATCGAACACGAGAAGCTCCTCCTCGTGCTCACGAGAAAAATAGAAGAGTGCTACGCCATTTTTGCTTCTCTCACTTTTATCGAGGTCGGTTTGGGATTGACATTTCGGTTCGAGTTTGGTTTTGAGCTCGGTTTCATCAAATTCAAATTCAGATGGTTTGGTTAACTTCATTATGAACGGTTTACTTCTTCCCGCGGTAAGGTATGAATTCAAACACGCAATATTATTTAATTAAAATAGTTAGACAATGTCATATATTTTAACACAACACGTAACACTTGGAGTACATAGTATTCGAAGTATCCGTTTTATTAGGGAATGTGAAGTTTACTTAATCAATACATCAATCTAAAATCTTTTTCTTACAGGTATTTGTCGTGCTTAAGTGGGAGTATAGATTTATAATCTTGTATCCGACTTTTTTTGTTTACGTTTACATTGTATGTACACAAAATGATCATAATGTTTGCATGAATTTCAACATAACAACTTGGACTAACTCAGCTTCCACATTAAAACTATACACTTTTAAAAGTTCTTTTATTAGTTTGAACCCCACACTATAAGATTAGTATTTTGGAGCGACAATACAATTAGTTTCATACTGTAAAATTGTGCTACAACACAAATCTAGTAACTAGATATTAGACAACTTAATGATTTCGGAGATCGAAGGTTGGGATTTGAGAAGTGAAACCATGTGAGAGGTAATAGAGCAACCTTGGGAATATGTTTCTGTAAGGGTCACCTTCTCTTTTCACCTTCAGATAAGCCATACATCTTTCTACTTCTGACTTGACCTGCAAGTAAACCTCATGGGCTCCCTCTTTATCGTTTAGCTCTTTCTCTCTACCTTTTGTTTCTATTGGTTTCCCAAAATATACGTAGAACCGTCCCGGAATCTTTGGAATTATTCCAGGCATATGCAAATCTTGGTTTCCCACTTCGCCTTCTTCACCGTTCCTAAATCATTACATCATCACCAGATTGAGAATCAGAGATCAAATGCTTATCTAATGTCGACAAGAGGTTGAAATTAAAATACCTCAATCTAATCGTGTCCTTTGTTATCTCTTCTATGAGGTTCTTGAGGAAAGGGATCTTCATTTGATCATTGTAATCCAAAACCACCTGAGATATCATTCCATTCCTCAGATTAACTTGGCTCAAAAACCGATTGAAGCAAAAAAAGACAGTTTTAAGATTTTGCTTACTTTGCAGAGATCATCTTCTCCAACAGTGCCAAAAGGAATGATCTTTGCTCCAAATTTAGATGCGATCCTTACAAACTCTGAATGTTCTGGCCAAAACAACTTGTATTCTTCACCCTGCCAGAAATAAGTGTTTTAACTTTAAATGTAAAGCCTCACAAATCAACAACAGGGAAAATGCAAACCATTAATCACCTTTCTGTGCAGAGCTTCACGGACACCTCCAGGATACAAAACCACATGAGCCTTTGAACGAAGTAGTTTGTAGAAGTTCATGTTCGAGACAGGAACTGCTCCTATGATCCTAACCGAGTCGAACATCTGCATTTCAGGGAGCATCGAGCCAAATTTCTTGGCAAACATCACGGGATGAGCCAGTCCACGCAACAGAATGTTCCTTTCTTTCAAGAAATGGATTGCTGCTGGACGCAATTCGGTGCCGAGCAACATGTGATTGCCAACATACAGAACCGGTCCCTCTGAAGGTATCCCTGCAAGTGATCTTACCACTGTGCCGTTGTCTAGAGTTGAGAGAAATACTGGAGCAATAGCAGCAGTTAGCAATCTGAAAACAGAGAAAACCATAACAACAATAATACTTTAGTATTTGCTTTGCAATCTGAAACAGAGTTTTGAATGCATCAAAGCGTACATATCGAGTAGAAACAGAATATTTTCACTAGATGTAAGAATAAATAAATAGGCTTTTTACAAACAAATTACCTTTGTGATTCTTCAAACTCTTTGAGCTCAAAAGGAGTAGGCAGAACGTAATCCGAAATGTAATCAAATTTCTTTCCACGGCGATAAAAGTAGCCAATCTTCATGATAGTCGCCAGATCTACCCCATCCTCCTAATATTAGATCAATCGGCAATTTGCATAATTCTGAAGTTTTTTCTAAAATACAAAGCCAGCGACTCACTGACACAAGGAAAAATTCTTGCATACCAAAAAGAGGAAGTGTCCATTATTCTCAAAATTACGGATATCGCTTTTCGGCAGTGCACAACGGAGTTTTTCAATGTCTTCTTTGTTAAGTAACCATTGATCACGCCCACTGCAACAGCCATATAGTAAAACTACAACTCAGCTTCCAGCAAAAACAATTCTTTAAAACTAATGATGAAACAGAGAAGTTTGCAAGTTTATGAACCTCAGAAGTATCAGTGTTTGGGCTTTGACTGTGGACATGTGAGAGTTAGTAGATGATATAGCAGACTTAAGCAGTTGAAGCTTCCATACAAGTGTGTCTTTGGGAAGTATCCTAATCAGAGTCTGTAAATCATTTATGTTCATGAGATTATAACTAGAGAGTAAAACCGAAACAACAAACAAACAAGACAACATGCATATATCACTTGTTCTCTTACAGGCAAACTTGCTGAAGTTGCAAAGAAGTCTCCTAAGAGCCCTCCACTGACATCAGTTTCATTCAGCATACTCTCCAACATTGCCGCAAACGGATAACCTTCACAATAAACCACACTTAGCCCTGACTTTCAAAGCAATATACGTTGAAGATATACATCAGGAAGGAGTTTGGAAACTTCACCTTGTTTAAACCCAAAATTCTCTTCTATCAAACTGGGGACTTCGTCAGGTAACAGTTCCAGTAGACTCGATAGAGGTTGCAAGATGAAGTTATTGAAACGTGTGACTGGCATCAAACAGATTCTATTATAAGCACAAAGACAAAATGCATACAAAAGGATAAAAAAAAATATAGTGAGTCTCTTTTTACCTGGATTAGCAAGAATCAAGACAAGATCGATGTCGGGGTTAGTAGCTGCAACATCCAGAGCAAGACAAGCTCCAGTGGAGTCTCCAACTATATAAATGGGCCTATTTGGTAAACGGAAGTACTCTGACCTAACTGTCCTCTCAATCAGCTTCACAACGTCTGCAAATGATACAACACAACACAAGACAACAGAAAGAGTTTCAATATCATGAGACTAATTCGGTTGGTTATACTTGAGACAGCAGAGAAGCACCTCTAGCAGAAGTCCGATCAGTGACTGGAAAGTGAAGGCACCATATGTCAAACATCCTATGGTCAAAATAAAATGTGATCAGAAACAATTCAGAGATTTACTAGAGCCACTAGATTTGTTCATCTTTCTTGAAATCAGTTTTATCTAATTCTTGAAAACAAAATTAAAAGATTTCTAAATAGAGAATATTCACACATCTGTTTGAAGAAGCAGAGATTAAACAATTACTTACTCTCCAAGCCTCTTATGCTGCCGAATGAGTCCTAATCCAGTACCATCGATCCCTGAAGTGTTGAATTTCTGAGTTTTGTTAACTAAATTTCACAAATTGATAGCAAAATCGATCAAAATGACAATAATCACCAGGTATGTAGAGGAGAAGAGGAGATCCCGGAGCTCGTTTGCCACATTCCAAAGGAGAGAACCACCGAGGCGGACCTCCATCTCCGCCGTCTGATCTCAACAAATCTTCAGCTTCCACCAGAAAATCCGTCAAGCTCTTCCGCTCCTCTGGCTGTGCCGCCTCCGCGAACGAATACGGATTCACCGTCGCCGTCACTTTCCGGAGACGTCCGGTGCTAGCTCCGAATTTGGTTGACTTACAGCGTGAAAAGTCGAGACTGGGAGCTCTTCTCGAACCTGAGGAGAAGATGGGACAGATTCCATCGGTAATGCGAACTGTTGAAGTCGCCATTGACCAGACGATTCCGAGATCGATGGTTTTCTCGGTAGATGAGAATTTTTGTTCTTCAACTTCATCTTCAAGTGATTGAACACGACAAGTTCGTGCTCACGAGAAAACAGCCATGAGTGTGCTCCGCCATTTTTGCCTCTCTTCTTTCTTCTATCGAGGTCGGTTTGGGATCGACATTTCGGTTCGACTTTGGTTTTGATTTGATTTTGGCTCGGTTTTACCAAATTCAGTTCAAAACATTCGAAAAGAGTGTTTTGTATAAATAGTTACGGTCGACTGAATGAAGGATAAATTAAGTGATTGATTAGTTGAAAGACTATTAACTGTGGTCAACTATAAGAATTGTTATTTAAATTAATTTTAAGACTAAGTCATTTTCGATGAATGTATATCAATATATCATATGAAAATAAATTGTTATGAGATCGAGCAAACTGAAGTTTTCAACAAACCGAGTGAGCCAAATAGACCAGATTAACCGAGTTGGATTGAATGGCTAACGTTTCTGCTAAGCTGGATGGAGAAAGAAATATTTAGCTTAGTGAAATATATCAACCTCTAATTACTTACGTACGTTACGTAGCCTTCTCAAAAACGTTACTTAAGCGAATAAATGCGATTATACATTATCAAATCGATGTTTGTTTAGGAATGGTTATTTATTTGGACAATTGAAACGACTGTTTTAAGAAACTCTAATCACAAATGTTATGAAATATTCGTGTTAGACGAATTTTATATGTGTGTACGGTGTACCACAAAATCGAAAATAACACTAGAGATAACATAAGTACTAGAAAGTTTATGTACCATATAAAGAAGATTATTATGTTACATTTTCACCCCAAAAAAAAGAAGCCACTAGAAAGTTTATTTGCAGCCGTCAGATCTCTTGATGCGAAAATTCTGAAAATATATTATCCCGCTCCTCTCGCAATTTCAAATTTCGAAATTTGATTCCAAAAAGCATCCATCTAACCGTTGTATCTCTCTCTCTCTCTCTCTCTTCACATTTACAATTCCATTTATTCTCTCACTCTACTTTTGCATTTGCTCTCTATTTCCCACACACCCATTGCACACAAAACAAAAAACCTCTCAGAAACCCTAATTCGTTCCCCATTTCTGCGATTTCTGAAATCGCCCATTCGATTCCTTCAGATCTACACAGTTTCCATCTCAGAAACTCGCGATTCTCCAAGCCATGGCTGCGAAACCGTTGCAAAGCAGCAACAACGCCAATGTGGCCAAGCCGCCGGCATCGAAAGCCGGGAAGACGATCGAAGAGATGTACCAGAAGAAGTCGCAGCTGGAGCACATCTTACTCCGGCCAGACACTTACATCGGATCGATAGAGAAGCACACCCAGACGCTCTGGGTCTACGAGAACGACGAGATGGTGTACCGCCCTGTGACGTATGTTCCCGGCCTTTACAAGATCTTCGACGAGATCCTCGTGAACGCCGCTGACAACAAACAGAGAGATCCGTCGATGGATTCCGTCAAAGTTGTGATCGACGTTGAGCATAGTCTGATCAGTGTGTGTAACAGCGGAGACGGAGTTCCCGTCGAGATTCATCAGGAGGAAGGCGTTTATGTGCCGGAAATGATTTTCGGCCATCTGTTGACTAGTAGTAACTACAACGATAATGAGAAGAAGACCACCGGTGGACGAAACGGGTATGGTGCGAAGCTCACCAATATCTTCTCCACTGAGTTCACCATAGAAACAGCCGATGGGAAGAGGCAGAAAAAATACAAGCAGGTACTTATTTCTGTGTTTTTGTTGCCTATATGTGATGATTTTCGTGTAGTCTATGCTTATTTTGCTGCTGATTAAGGCCTTTGCTAAGGATGATCTGATAAACACCCACACATAGGTTGTAATGTCGATTCGATTGATGCAGTAATTTGAGGAAATTGACTGTTCTGGTGATTTGTAGGTGTTTGAAAACAATATGGGGAAGAAGTCTGAACCGGTTATCACCAAGTGCACTAAGAAGGAGAACTGGACCAAGGTCACTTTTCGACCTGACTTAGGGAAATTCAGCATGACTAGTTTAGAAGACGATGTGGTTGCTCTAATGAGCAAACGAGTTTTCGATATTGCTGGTTGTTTGGGAAAGACTGTGAAGGTGGAGCTGAATGGCGTACAAGTTCCAGTTAAATCATTCAGTGATTATGTCAATTTGTACCTTAGTGCAGCCAATAAATCAAGGCCTGAGCCTCTCCCAAGGTTTGTTTGTTCTATCAACGACTTTGTTGTTCATTTATAAGAAGATTGTGTATACGAATTGGTTCTCAGCTTTTGAGTTTTCTTGTGAGATTAGGATGGTTGAGAAAGTCAATGACAGATGGGAGGTTTGTGTGAGCTTAAGCGAGGGGCAGTTTCAGCAGGTATATTTTTGAAACTGAGCTTAAGACATTACTTGCTTGAATGAATAAACTTCTTAACAATGTTTTCTTCTGCTACCAGGTCAGCTTTGTTAACTCCATTGCCACAATCAAGGGTGGTACACATGTTGATTACGTGACCAGCCAGATCACAAACTACATTGTTGGTATCGTGAACAAAAAGAACAAGAACGCTAATGTGAAGGCCCACAATGTGAAGAACCATCTGTGGGTATTTGTCAACGCCCTGATTGACAATCCTGCGTTTGATTCCCAGACAAAAGAAACACTGACTCTTCGACAGACCAGTTTCGGGTCCAAATGTGAACTTTCCGAAGATATTCTGAAGAAAGGTATGGTCTGCTTCATCTTTCTTAATGGGTTTAGTGAACTAACTGGTTTCTAGAAGATTGCCTAAGTTTGCTTCAATTTCAATTCTTGTTCCAGTGGCGAAATCTGGAGTAGTAGAGAATTTGCTTTCATGGGCAACTTTCAAGCAGAGCAAAGAACTTACGAAAACTGATGGAACTAAAACTGGGAGGGTTATGGTTGAGAAGTTGGAGGATGCAAACGAAGCTGGAGGGAAGAACTCTAATAAGTGTACGTTGATTTTGACTGAAGGAGATTCAGCTAAAGCTCTAGCTGTAAGTGTTCTTAATCTATTGTCAGCTAACTAGTACCTCTCTTGTTCAAGTTCAAGAGACCTAATACTCCTTAATGTTCAGATGGCGGGGCTCGTGAAGGTGGGTCGTGACCATTACGGTGTGTTTCCCCTTCGAGGAAAGTTACTGAATGTAAGGGAAGCCAGCACCAGTCAGATCACTAACAATAAGGAAATCGAGAACATCAAGAAGATCCTTGGACTGAAGCAGCATGTGAAATACGAGAACGTTAACTCCCTGAGATACGGCAGTTTGATGATCATGACTGATCAAGTATTACATTCTTTACTCACTCAGTGCATTATTATATTTCTACATATATGTGTCTCTCTCGCTATATGTGTTACATGACAATATATTTTTGTCCACAGGATCACGATGGTTCCCACATCAAGGGGCTCTTAATTAATTTCATCCACTCTTTCTGGCCGTCATTACTCAAGGTTAAATCATTCCTAGTTGAGTTTATCACACCCATTGTGAAGGTAATTACAATACCTTCATCCTTGCATAATATATCCTATATAGTACTTAAAATAGTAGACTAAAGAATGTTAACAACTGCCTTAACCATATCGTACTAGGCCACGCGCAAGAAGAGAGGCAACGAGAAAGAAGACACAGTTCTGTCATTTTACTCAATGCCTGAGTACGAAGAGTGGAAAGAAAGCCTGAGGGGTAATGCAACCGGATGGACTATAAAATACTACAAGGTTTGCTTTCTGTTGTAACTATTAAGAGAGAACTTTTGGGAAAGTGCTCATGTTCTTTGCATACTAACTGTCCTTGTGTCTTTCTAGGGATTGGGGACGAGTACCTCTAAGGAGGGCAGAGAGTACTTTGAAAAACTTGATATTCACAAAAAGGATTTTGTTTGGGAGAATGATCAAGATGGAGAAGCTATAGAACTTGCATTTAGTAAAAAGAAGATTGAAGCCCGAAAAAGCTGGCTTCTGAAGTTTGAGGTATGTTCTTGAGGATATCTGCTCTTTGCTCGTTATATCTGCCTTTTCTTTTCTGATTCCACTTTTTTTCTTTTCCATTCAGCCTGGCACTCATCTTGACCAGAAGGAAAAGAAAATTACGTACAGTGACTTTGTGAACAAAGAACTTATCCTGTTCTCCATGGCCGATCTTCAAAGGTCCATTCCTTCGGTGGTTGATGGGCTCAAACCGGGACAGAGAAAGATACTTTTCTGTGCGTTTAAGAGGAACTTAATCAAGGAGGCCAAGGTTGCCCAATTCTCTGGTTATGTCTCAGAGCACTCAGCTTATCACCACGGGGAGCAGAGTCTTGCCGGTACCATCGTAGGTATGGCGCAGGACTATGTTGGCAGCAATAATATCAACCTGCTTCGACCCAATGGTCAATTTGGTACCCGATCTTCGGTAAGTATAGCTAACTAGACCAACTGTTGTCGTTTATCTATGCTCAGACTCATCATTGTGTGCATGATTCCGGTTATTGTAGGGTGGCAAAGATGCAGCCAGTCCAAGATACATTTTCACAGCGCTCTCTCCAGCAGCAAGGGTCTTGTTTCCCAAGGATGACGATGTCCTCCTTAATTACTTATATGAAGACGGACAAAAGATAGAGCCAACTTGGTATTGCTTTACCCATTTTTCTTCTCTTATTAGTACATTTCATTTACCCATCTAGTAACGTTAACTTAAAAAATGTTAAATGCTTGTTAGGTACATGCCCATCATTCCAACTGTCCTAGTCAATGGCTCTGAAGGAATTGGAACAGGGTGGTCTACTTTCATACCTAACTATAACCCGAGAGACATTGTTGCCAACGTAAGGCGTCTACTTAATGGTGAAAGCTTGGTTCCTATGGATCCTTGGTATAGAGGTTTTCAAGGAACTATTGAGAAAACTGCATCTAAGGAAGGTGGGTCTACCTATACAATCACTGGTGTATACGAGGAGATTGATGAAACGAATCTTTATATCACCGAGCTACCAGTCAGAAAGTGGACTGATGAATATAGGGACTTCTTGATGGGAATGAAGACAGATTCTGGGGCCCCCTTTATCGAGGTAGGATAGCCATTAAAATCAGAAACTGTGATTGTATTCTTATATATGTTTCTGTCTAATTCGTTCTTTTTCTTTCTGCAGAAAATTGACGTGTACCATTCCGAAAAGTCTGTCGACTTTAGGCTTACATTGAGTGAAGCGAACATGATGATGGCTCGGCAAGAGGGGATCTTGAAGAAATTTAAACTCACCACGACAGTTGCTACAACCAATATGCATCTCTTTGCTCAAAACGGTGTGATTAAGAAGTATGCGACTCCAGAAGAAAGTGAGGAAGGGAGATACTACTTTATTCAATCCTTTCTCTTCTCCCTACAGAATAATACTAACCATTAATCGATCTTTGTGTAGTCCTTGAAGAGTTTTTCGACCTCAGGCTCCAATACTACGAGAAGAGAAAGGTTTAAAATTCTTAAAACTACCTTGATTCAGCCTTGAAAAGTTTTATTAATTTGTCTGACATTAGCTGTCCTGATATGTTGTATACAGAAAGTGATGTTGGAGAATCTAGAAGAGGAGCTGCTGAAACTAGATAACAAATTGAAGTTTATTCTTGGAGTTGTGAGTGGAGAAATCAAAGTGAACAATAGGAAGAAGGCTGATCTTGTTCAGGAGTTGAGACAGAGAGGGTTTACACCATTCCCGAAGAAGGCAAAACCTGTTGAAGCTGCAGTTGCCGGAGCAATCGATGCAACTGAGGAAGAATCTGAAGAAAGCTCAGAGGCGCCTCCTGCAACAAGCTCCATGTTCGTGTCTGGGTCAGACTATGACTACCTATTGGCAATGGCTATATCTTCGCTGACTCTAGAGAAAGTCGAGGAGTTAAGTGCACAGAGAGATAAAATGAAGGAAGAAGTTGAAGAGTTGAAGAAAACCACACGAGAATCACTCTGGCTCAAAGACCTAGACTCTCTCGAAAAGGAACTAGACGTATGTGATTCACAAAGCTGAAACCTTTTTGCCTAGTAAGGTTACCAATTTCTCATCTTCTTTCTTCCATATATTGCAGAATATTGATGCTCATGACGAAGAAGAGCGAATAAAGGCAGCAGAAGATGCAAAGAAAGACAAGGCCGGTGGTGGAGCAGCAAAAAAAGGTCGAAAACCGGCGGCAAGGAAACCACCAGCACCGAAGAAGACCACAAAGAAGGAATCAGAAACCGCAGAGGCTTCCACCAACTCAGCAATGGACACAGGTACTCAGAAAGACAGATAGGTTCATTCATCGTGTTTCTTTTAGTTTTCTTGTATGGATCTCTGATACACATTTTGGAATCTTGATTGTTTTACAGAGAGCAACGTAGTGGAAGTTGTGAAGCCTAAAGGTAGACAAGCAGCCAAAAAGAAAGCTCCGGTTGCTCCTCCAGCTGCTGAGGTTGATGATGATGTGATGCTTGATCTCGCAGAAAGGATTAAGCAATACAATATAAGCAGTAAGATTTCTATCAGTGTAAAATAGTTAGTCACGTCTTATTGAAGAAGAGTTCTCTGAAATCTTGTCTTTTATGATCAACAGAAGAGACAACTGAGACATCCAAACCAATATCTTTGGATGATGATAGTGATGAAGACGTGGTGGTGGTTGAGGCTGCACCAGCAAAGGGAGGAAGAAAACCAGCTGCGAAACCACCGGCTGCTCCGAGGAAACGTGGACCAGCGGCGAGCAAGAAGCAGGCGCCAGTTGTGGAGGTTGTTGGTGTGTCTCCGGTGAAGAAAGTGAGGAAGATGAGATCTTCGCCGTTTAACAAGAAGAGCGGTTCTGTAATGGCGAGGTTGGCTACTACTAGTAACAACAATACGGAGGTGGAGGAAGGAGGGAGTAGTGAGAGTGTTGTGGCGGAAAAGATAGCGAGGCCTCTGAGAGCAAACAGGAAGCAAATGAGGTATGTGCTGAGTGACTCGGAGAGTGAGTCTGGGAATGATTCTGAGTTTGAGGAGATTGAAGACGACGAAGACTTTGAGTAGAAAAGATGAACCAACTCGGTTCTTTGCTTCGTTTCATGCCTTTAATAATCTCAAAACTTTATCTGAATTTCTCTTGTAGCCTTTTTATCCTCCAAACTTTGAACTTGAATATTGCTTGGTGTCAATATCAATCTCTTCTTTAGGATTTTCGAATTTGATTAACAGGTTACCATTACTACACTCTATCAGGCATGTCACTATGCTCCTACAAATCTTAAGTGGGTTTGATATTAACCCATTTAATAGGCCCATTAGTGGAAATCATGAGCCCATTTTGTACTGATGTCATATGATAGATCTTTTCCCCTAAAATCCAAACGTAGCGTTGAGCCTTATATCTGAATCGATCGGTTATAAGAAAACCGAACCGGTGAGTTGGCTCAAATAAATGGAGTAAAGGCGGTTCACGTGGGCACATTGGGTTGTCGCTCATGTGAGCACTACTTAATATGTTCGTAATCATTTCACAGCTTTTATTTTTTCCTTTCCAATGATCAATCTTTCCACTGTATTCATTAGATTTGTTGGTAGATTCAGTATATATCTGTAACAATAACAAATATAAGCATTTAAAGAAACGGAAAAAGACATTAAGAGTATTCGTTTCGTTTTTTTGTGTTTTGTTGACAATTTTTACTTGAGAAATGAGAAGGAAACAACTCACAAAGAACTTATCTTTTACTGGCCTTTGAACAGTTTTACGATTTTCGGATCTTTTGTTACATCATGATGATTAATTGATTATAGTCTTTATATTAAAAAACATTTTTTTATCTACAGAGAGTAGAGTAGTGACAATTCTATGACGTAACTTATTCATGTAAGAAATTCATGATTGTACTTTTACAGGAAAGAAAAATAACAATTTCTATATTCATTCATAATCACATGTGGGTTTATGCTTTATAAAGCAAAGGAAAATGTCACTCTCATTTTCACATGCTCAAAGTGAGAAAGGACTGAATTATACTTATCTTATTTCTCAAGCCACCAGCTAAGAATTTAATTCTCTTCATATATATCTGAAGCAAATTTAGTTGATGATATTTGGTACTTGTCATGTTGAGGTGATAGACGTTCTCTGCCTATTTATAGATTTGAAAGGCTGAAATGCCCATGTTTGCTTGTACGAAAGCATGCGATCAATATATTTTTAAAATTCATCATTTTATTTTGATAATACACGTGATAGTTTAACAAAGAAGAATAAATTACGTATTGTAACTTGTAAGGCCATCTTGCACGAAATCGATTCGGATAAAACAAGAATATTTACTTTCATTTTATTTTTAAAATTGAACAAAGCGTATATATGTAGTTGACTAGACTCTATAGTAAATGAATAGTATAAATGACTTCACATTGTCTTTTATTGGTGGTTTAATGCTGCGAGGACCTCTTAGCTAGACTCTCTATTGACTTCTGATATCTGGCATAGAGTCTTGAAATCGTTAAGAAACAAAAGATAGACTAGTAGTAATTTCTGTTCAGAATTTTAAGACTTGACCTATTTAGTATTTACAGAGTAATATTTTAAAATGAATTATAGAATTGCAGTTGGTGTGATCGATGCGTACTAAAATAAAAAATGGCTGCAGTTGGTGTGATCGATGAAATCAATATAGATGTGATTGATACGATTATTAGGTTAAAATGGTCCAATCAAGATGTTAAATGAAATATTCAAATGTAGTATAGTTTGTCTATATTTTACTAAATGTTTAGCGGTCCTAAAATTTTGAACAAGTGTTTTATTGCTTTTTTTATATAAAATCTTAACATAAAACTAACATTTATGGCAACAGAAAAGAAAAAGAAAAAACATGTGGTGTCGTAGTATATCGACTAAACGTATGTAGGTAGGTGTCAGATTAAAGCAGAGAAAGAGAGATCTTTTACGAAGGAGTTAGGTATATATGACGGTTGGGGGCAGCTTTCGTGATTTCATTTATGATTTGTTTGTTGAACTCTGATCTATGGCATCGAATATTTTTTTTCTTCTTGGTTACAAAAAAATGAAATCATTTTCTTTATTTGAAAGGGAACGAAACAAAAACACAGCGGTCAATTGTTTGTCTTAAGTTTTACCGTAAAAAACAACAAATTGTCCGAGCTATCAACGTTGAAACTTCTCTTTCGGAATCTTATAGAATTCTGTAGGACATTTCTGAGATGTCATCTCAAATTTTAGATGTAACTTTCGTATATTTCGTCTATATCCCAAATAGAAGCCAATTTGTTGGCTGGCTCTTAAGCAAAGCAATCCCTCCGAGCTTTCGTTTCTGATCAAGGAGAAAACTCTATTTTTAAAGAATCACATATTTTTGACAAAAAAACGTACAAAACAACAACAATACTCTCTAAATTAATTTTGAAAAACTTACAAGAGGCATTTTGTTTATAATCTTCACAAAATTAACTAGTAATTTAGAAAAATATGGAAATGTAAATACTATTACAATAGTACTTGCCGAGTTCTTTTGATGTGAATTTACAAAGATGTCAGAAGGCTGATTAATCATAAATGTATGTACGAGTACGACTGTTGTATACTTTTGTGTGTGCGTTTTTTGTCAGAGAGCTCTCTAACAACACTATGAATTGTTTTTGTGAGTAGCAATGGAAAATCTTTCAATAATAGACAGTTTTTGGTAGTATCACAGAGCTAGCCAAGGTAGGCCTCTCTCTGAATTACATAAAAAATCAGAAATTCATTTGTTCTTTTCTTCAGTGGTTGTCATTTTAAGTTGATTTTGTTGTAAGCTAACAAAAAATACAGCTGCTTAAATACCCCACAAGTGTTTGGAATGTACAGCGAAAGACAGTATAATAACTCTTCAGGTTTTGATGTCACATAGCTTATAAAATTTTCGCATGTTCCATGTCCAACGACGAAATTAAATGTGATGAAAATTAAATGCCTGATTAAAATAAAAGGCGGGGTGGCAAAACAATCCCACAATCTAAATGACAAATATGTTTCTATGTCGTTTGAAGTTGAACAACATAAAAGATGTTTGTGGCTAAAACAATTCTCTCAGGTAAATACATAAATAGTGATGATTAATCCAAAAGTTGTCAAAAATGATGATTGTAACTTTGTAAGTAAAAAAACAAGTTGATCATTTCATTTTAGGAGAAAAATGACCGTTAATTGTACCAACGGATCATGCACACATTTTTGTAATTGACTATATAGACCTTGCTTGCACAAGCTACGGAAATTATATTCTACCAGCAGTTAGAGGGTAAATACGTCGTTGCAATGATTATTTGCCACTGTTCATTTAAAAAAGATTATTGGTTACTGTTCCCTCCACTCAATACATGCAGCTTTATTAATAAAAAATAAATAAATAAAGATAAATTTCCACTATTATATGAGACAAATATTGTGGTGCGTACCGTTTCAGTAGAACGCAAGATTTAATATTTTAATCGATTATTGTAAGATCTTGTTTCCATAAATACCTGTCGGTACAATTGTTTATACAAAAAGTATTTTTATTTCTCAGTTTATAGGTAATTGATGTTATTATGCTCTTTGAGAAAAAGAAGCTAAAACATGTGAAATTCACTGGTTTTCTAATGTCATTTGCTGAAGAATTATCATAATTAGAGACTTAAGATCTCGCCATAACAATGGCTGAAACCATAAACCAAAAAATGGGAAACGAAAGCGAAAAAATGATAAACAAATGTACGACACTGTATTACACTATAAGCAACGTTATACAAGTCCAATAAATACATAGTAGCTTTGACTTTTTTTTTACATTAAAAACCTAAACCTATTCTATTGCGCCAGATTACATTACAGAATCGTTTGCCAACTCTGAGCCTATTTTTCCGATAAAACCACAAAATGAACTAATTAATTGACGTTAATCGAAAACTAATTATTTATTTCGTTCGGTGATACAAAAATATAAAGTATAATTTGCGCTTAATTATTGTATAACAAAAACAAAATTAAATGTCTGTCTTTAGAATGTAGATCTACTTTTCATTATTTTTTTGTCCCATTTATAAAAAAAATTCTACTAGTGGAGCTTAACGCTCGCGTCTTCTTCCTCTTGACGTAATCGGAGTAAAAACTCATTCCGATTCACTGAGTCGACTCGGAGTATTAGTTTGCTTACTGCTGATGTGTTCTTCTACCCATTTCTGATCACCAGTTGCTCTACATTGGACTGAAGGAGTGTTTATTGAAAATGGCTTGTTTCCGGCGAAAATTCCCGGAGCTCCGGTAAGTAATTCTGTTTCTGCGGCGAACCATACTCGAGGGTGGAGATGTTTAAGTCAGCGAGATGGCGGAGCGAGAAGAACAAGATCAAAATCGTTTTCAAGTTGCAGTTTCATGCGACTCAGGTATTTTATAAATCAAATTCCTTTTCTTATTACTTTCCGATTTTGTACGGTGAGTTTTGGCGGCGACTTTATCTCTCTCGACGGAGCAAACGGCGAGGATCGTTGCTTGGATATTGGAATTTCCAGAAATCGGGGGAAAGACAGAAAATAGTCAATCTGACATTTGACATGACCAGTTTTAACAGTGAATTTCACTTTCAGCTTTAAAAATTATCAAATAAATGTCAAAATTGGATTTTGGAATTTGGATCTTTGATTAGTTGTTGTTTTCAGGTGACTCAGTTGAAGGCGGAGGGATTAACGATCTCTGTAGTTCCCGGAGATGTTGGAAAGCCGACGGGAAAGGCGGAGAAGGCAATGGTGCTCGACGGTCACTGTCGGTGGGAATCTCCGGTGTACGAGACGGTGAAGTTTCTTCAGGATGTGAAGACTGGGAAAGTTAATCAGCGAATCTATCATCTAACTGTGTCAACTACGGTGAGGAAAATTAAAAAAAACTTGTTTAGTGAGATCTCTGAGATTTCAGTGTTCTTGAAAGTTCTTAGCTTTTTTTTTGTTTTGCAGGGATCTACAAAGTCCGGTTTGGTAGGAGAGACTTCGATTGACTTTGCTGATTACGTTGATGCAATTAAGACTTGCAATGTCTCTCTTCCTCTCCAGAATTCGAATTCAAATTCAAAAGCAATCTTGCACGTAAAACTCTCTCTCTCTCTCTCTGTTGCATTTATGTTTGTCATGAACAAGCTCACAAGATTTCTGAGATTTCTTGTCTTTTGAATGATATTTTTTTTATGGATCTGTGGTTACTGAGATTCGAATTTTCCATTTATCAGGTATCAATACAAAGGCAGCTAGAAAATGTGGATCTGCAAAGGTACAAGAAACTTATCTCTGGCTGCCTTTTATGAGTTTTCTCTTTGTGGTCAAGTTTATTCTTTTAGTGTTCTTATTGGGAGAGTCTCTGCAGATTGGTGAAAGAAAACAATAATTTGGTGAAAAGGCCACAGAGCCAAGATTTGAAGTCACAGTTGAGCATTGAAGCAGATGAAACCCATTCACAAGAGGTATAACTCTTTTTTCCATGTTCTTGATTTCTGAAGTCATTTCTTGATTTTTACCTGCAAGCACACTTGCCTCTGCTCTTATAGGAGGGCTCATTTGGTAAAGCTTCCAGGATAGCTGAACTGAGGCGTAGAGCATCGATTGAATCCGATAGCACGCTGTCAAGCTTTGACAGTGTCTCTGAATTGGAGGAAGTTGGGAGCAGAAGAGATCTCAATCAGCAGAACCAACAAACTATGATGCATACTAATGTATATGAAGAGCCTCACATATCAGAATCCGAGTGGTCAGGAAGTTCAGATCAAGGAATCAGCACTGATGACTCCATGAATAGCTCGAATGATGCTACCATCCGGAGAGACACCACCACAAGGACTTCCTCGGATGAAGAGGTGGATAAGCTTAAAGCCGAGGTCGTTGCTCTGGCAAGGAGAGCGGATCTTTCGGAGTTGGAGCTGCAGAGTCTGAGGAAGCAAATTGTTAAAGAGACTAAAAGAAGTCAGGATCTCTTGAGGGAAGTGACTAGCCTGAAGCAAGAGAGAGACTCACTGGAAGAAGATTGTGAGAGTGTTAAAAGCATCTGACAAGCGAAAAGACGAGGCCGAAATTAGGAACAAGTTGCATTTTGAAGGAAGTGATCCGCAAGTTGTTTTAGAAGCAACTCAAGAAGAGCTTGATTATGAGAAGGATTTGAATTCCAATCTACGGTTACAGCTGGAGAAGACGCAAGATTCGAACACGGAGTTGATCCTTGCTGTGCAAGATCTTGAAGCAATGTTGGGGCAGCAAAGACGTAAGAGGGCACTCGATGTTCCTAGACCAAGGCCATGCGAGATTAACACCGAAGAATCGAGGAGAAGAAGGTCTTGCACAAGTGAGACAGATGAAGAAGATGAGGATCAGAAGGCATTGGACGAGCTTGTGAAGGGACACATGGATGCGAAAGAAGCGCATGTTCTTGAGCGAAGGATCACTGATCTCTACAATGAGATTGAGATCTATAAACGAGACAAAGAAGACCTTGAGATACAGGTGGAGCAGCTTTCTCTTGATTACGAGATACTCAAGCAAGAGAATCACGATATCTCGTACAAGCTAGAGCAGAGCCAAGTGCAAGAACAGTTGAAGATGCAATATGAATGTTCGTCTTCTCTTGTAAACGTGACCGAGCTTGAGAATCAAGTAGACAGCCTAGAAGCTAAGCTCAAGAAGCAGTCAGAGGATTTCTCTGAGTCTTTGTTACGCGTTAAAGAACTTGAAACGCAGATCGAAGGCATGGAGGGAGAAGTAGAGAGACAGGCTCAGATATTTGAGGCAGATATTGGAGCTGTCACACGTGGCAAAGTTGAGCAAGAGCAGAGAGCTATTGAAGCCGAAGAAGCCCTGAGGAAGACGAGGTGGAGAAATGCTAGTGTAGCTGAGAAAATCCAGGATGAGTTCAAGAGAATCTCTGAGCAGATGTCTTTTACGTTTGCAGTGAATGAGAAGATGACTAAGAAAGCAATGAAAGAAACACAGGACCTTCGCATGCAGAAGCGTCAGCTAGAAGAACTTCTCATGAACGCTAACGATGAGCTCCAAGCAAATAGAGTAGAGTATGAAGCAAAGATCAGCGAGCTATCTGAAAAGATGGAGAGAATGTTTGAGAAATCTAAGTATCTAGAGAATCAAAAGAGGCAAGAAGAAGATGTCAATGCAGATTTAACACAGGAGATTGCAAGGCTGAAGGATGAGATTGACATCTTGAGACTTGAATTGGAAGAAACGAGAAGATCAAGAAATGAAGTCGAGACATCTTTACAAATACGAAATACAGAGAAAGATAGAAGTGAGCTGAAGAAGAAGAAGGAAGAAGAAATGGCTAACGAAGCAAGAATAAAATTGTTTGAGGTATATGTCTACATGAGACTAAAACATTCATTATTTTAGGTAAAGATTTAATGTTGATGCCAATTTTTCTTTGTAATTTCAGGAACAAATCAAACTTAAGGAAAAGGCTTTGGAAGCCTCTTCGAAGATGTTCGTCGAAAAGGAAAAGGATTTGAATAACCGAATCAAAGAGTTGGAGACTAGACTCAACAACCAAGAGGTACAAAATTATAACCTTTACAAGAATCAAATTGCATTCCTACAACCTTAAAACGATTAGAACATAACTCTGGTTTGTTTTATGAACAGACCGGAGAATCTCTGCACTGTCAAGACGCTACTGCTTTGCAAAACAGAGAAGTATTGTCATCGAACAAGAGGTATGTGTGTTCCTGAACCAATAATACAAACAGAAAGAAAATAGCGATCATTTCTGATTGTGTTTCTTGTTTGTTTGTTACACAGTGATGATGATCTTGAAGACTTGGTAAAAGAAGTAGCGTGGCTAAGAGAGCAAAATGGATTGATGGAGATGGAGTTGAAGGAGATGCAAGAGAGATATTCAGAGATAAGTCTCAGATTTGCAGAAGTTGAAGGTGAGAGGCAACAACTTGTCATGACCGTACGTAATCTCAAGAATGCCAAGAGGAGCTAAGAACCAATATTCTCAGGACCGCATATTACAAGGTTGTACAAATTTCTCTTCTTTTTTATATATAGTAATTACATTTGTTTTGTTTTTTGGGTTTCTCTACATATATATAGTATAATAAATCAAGTGAAAGTGAGAAAATGGTCTGTTCTGTGAGAGAAAGAAAAAGTGAGTTTTGAGTTTTGAGTTTCTTTTTGGGAGTAATTAAGAGAGAAAATAGTATATTTAAAGTCTGATTGGTAAACAAATGTTGTAAAAGTGCTTTCATGTATGTAAAACAAAGAACCCTTCAGTAAGTTTGCTCCACGAGATTTAGCTGCTTCTACATCCATAGCCTTGACTTCAAGTGAACTTTTCTTTGTACTGTTGCCTTTCTTCATCTTTGTAATCACATAATTTCACAAAGATTAATATTAAAACATACAACAAGCCAATGAGATAATAAAATTACAGAGCTAATGCAATGTAATATACCAATTCCTTGAACAATGGCTGAAGGGTCCCTATCATGTGGCCGGGAGGCAAAATCTCCCAAGGTCTTCTTGCTTGTGATACCTCGGAGAGTGAAAAAAGTGGAGCCAAATTTAGCTGTCTAAATACCTACAGAAACAAGCAAGAGACAAACTTAGCATCATTCTTCTTGACTCAATGTTAATCCAAAAACAGTTATTTAATCAATCAAAAGTCAAAAAATGCTTTACCTCACGAGAAAAAGATGGCATGAAAGGTTCCAACAATTGTGCAACAAGGTGTACTAAACCAGCAGCTGTTCTTATAACAATATCACAACAAGGTCTATCTTCCTTGTAAAGTCTCCAAAATCTGTTTCCCTACAAGAAAGTAAAAACAGAGTATAACTTATTAGATTCAATCAGCCAAACAGAAGCTAATATACGCTTTGCTTAGCTACCTGCAAGTATCCATTCCCTTCCATCGAAATTTGCATTGCAGTTTTCAGCCCCTGCTTTAGCTTAACCTTTTCCATAGCTTCAACATACTCTTCCACCAACTCTCCAATCTTTACACTCAGTGACACCGTTGGAAGATGAGACTCAGCACCATGAGCATCAGGGACAACACAGCCGTAACCTGTATTCTCAGGCTTTGCTATGAAACTCAAAACTCTGTAAACAAAGTTTCCTAAATTGTTCACCAACTCTCCATTCAGTTTCGCTTGCAAATCATCCCATGCAACGTTGTGTCAGAAGTTTCAGGCCTGTTCGCGAGCAAGTAGTATCTCCATACTGCCAGTGCCAGGCCTGTTGGCAGGAAAGAACAACATAGTCCAAGAAAAGCTTGCGGCGCGTGTGAACATTGTGCCAGGTACTTCCCTTCTCTTTTGTTAGCCTCTTTCGTCTTTGTTTCCATTAGAGCTTCAGTAAAAACTGGATGAGTTTCTGCCAGCAAGATTTTGTAGAAAACCTTCTCTGTTAGCGTAATCACTTAATGCTCAGAATGTTTGTTGACTCATGAGAGACTAGAAGCTAATTTTAGCCAGTCCCATGCTTTACACTCTACCGAATTAGCATTTGCGTCTTTTCGTCTATCTCTCAGTCTTTGTCTAAAATGTGTTTTCGTTTTTTCTTTCTGAATACTATTAGATTCTCATGTGTACTCTCTATTTGTTATGAGAAGTCAAAGTTTAAAACTTTTTAGGCAGAAGCTGCAGTTTCTTTGATTTCAATGGATTTCACTGAGACTTTCCATTAGTTATCTTTGAATATGTTATACTTGAGTTTAAACTATACACTTGCACTAGTATGTTCGTGCTTAGAGTCTGAAAAAACTCAGAAATTGCCAGTGTTTTCATCAGCTTCCTTCTTTGTAGAAGACGATAAGATTGGAGTTAAACAAGAACGCTACATTTGTTGCATCGTGACTTGCTTTATTTTGTGTTTTTCTTTTTGAATATTCTCACTAGATTGCTGATCAAACCGCAATTCATGCTTCTTGAGGGCTCAAACCATATACTTAGCCATTGCATGAGCCGTTGATTCCTGATTTTGGCTCGAACACTTCTCCAAATGTCCTAAGGGTCTTTCCCGTCGTTGAAATTAGTCTATGGCATCCATTTCCTCATTAAATGAGTCATGGTGACACCATCTCCTGCAACATGTGTACATGTGTTTACTAAAGATTCCTTCTCCGCCTCTGAATTCCTTGAGGAGAGAATACGGAAATGGCTAATCTGAAACCCTAATTATGTCAGAATTGGCCGCTTAAAAGCCCAATTTTATGTTCAAAATCACAATTTTGGGTCAGAATGGGGCGATGGAAAGCTCAATTTTATGTCCGAACGACCCAATTTATGTCGGAAAATATCATGTCTGAACGGTCCAATATTCTGTCTGAATGGATTTTGCTGGAACTGACTGATCAAAAACCCAATTTCCTGTCGGAACGGTAATGAAACTCAAATTTATGTCGGAATTGTTTTTGTCCGAACCGTCCAATTTTCTGTCGTGTATTTTTTTTTTTTGTCTAAACGATTATCTCGGGATGGGCTGATCAAAAGCCCAATTATATTTTAAAACGGGCCTATAGAAAGCCCAAACGTTTTTATGTAGGAATGCCCGACGAGACCCAAATTTTATTGTCGGAACGACCAAAATTTGTGTCGGAATTTTGATGTTTGAACGGCCCTGTTTTCTGTCCGAAAATTTTATGTCCTAACGGCTTTACTTTATGTCGGAAATAATTATGTCCGAACGGCCTCATATTCTGTCGGAAATTTTTTATGTCCGAACAGATCAGATCACAGTTTTATGTCAGAAAATTGGATGTCCAAACGCCCCAATTTTACGTTGGAAAATCTTACGTCCGAACGACACAACTTCGGTCGGAATATTTTTACGTCCGAACGACACAACTTCGGTCGGAATATTTTTACGTCCGAACGACACAACTTCTGTCGGAATATTTTTATGTCTGAAAATTCGATGTCCGAACGACCGAGTTTTATGTCGGAAAATTCGATGTCCGAAAGACACAACTTATGTCGGAATATCTTTGCCCGAACGACTCAGTTTGATGTCAGAAAATTCGATGTCCGAAAGACACAACTCATGTCGGAATATTTTTATGTCCGAAAGACACAACTATGTCGGAAAATTTTTAATGTCTGAACGACACAACTTATGTCGGGATTGGCCGCCGATCCGTCGACTAAAAACCCCAATTGTTTTTCGTTACGGGCCAATAAAAAGCCCAATTAATGTTTGAATTGTTTACGTCTGCACGGCTAAATCTGAATATGCTCACTAATGTAATCGTACCCACAAAATTATCAATGGATGAATATTAGTAGTTTCTGATCTACTACAACAAATGTTAACAGATGAACAAGAAAGAAGTAAAGTAGATGTGTGTGATTGAGCTTCAAAATTAAATGCTCAGCAGTGTTTACAATCTCTCTTTTAAAGCAAAGTCGGATACTTGGCGTCAAGAAACTCTCTGAGACTCTTGGCAGCTTTGTGACCACCCATGATTTCTGCTAATTTCTCCACAGGCAAAGACACTAGCTCAGACAAACTCTTACACTTCTCCATTATCGATCTGTAATTACCGTCTGAAACTCCAGGAAGCCTTCTCAGAAACTCTACTGCTGACGTGTTGTAGTTCTCGGCTCTGTTGTTCACATGATGAGTCAAATTCTAAAAGATCAAAAACTGAATTTTCTTTTTGCAGTTTAAAGAATATTTTGGTTTTTGTTACCTGATGTCATTTTCTATGATACCTTCTTCTGAAGGCACACCAACTCTTATAGCTCGGGTCTCATCGGGCTCGTCTTGGTTTGATTTCAAGGCGGTGAAGATTTCAGCGGTTGCATGAAGACTCCGAGACCATAGTATCCTTAACCGAGAGAAATGCAGAACTAGCAATGATAGTTTCGATATGATGTTATATGGAGTCACATCATCTGATATATCACTCGCAGACTGCACCACAGCAAAAACCAACATACATATAAGAGAATACCAGAGAGATATTTTTGACTGTGAAGCTTTGAAAACGTGAGAGGGTTAACCTGAAAGGAGAAGCTCTTGTCTTGAGAGAACTCGATGAGAAGAACGGGGATTCTGTAGTATCGAGACATCATTTCGACTTGGTGGAACAAACGACCTGATGTGAAGCTCTGGAAAAGATCCTGAATGCTTTTCCTCTCGACGCATATGGAAGGCGAAAGGATATAGTCGCCGACCTCTAGTGTAACCGGTACTATCTTCATGCCCTTCTGGTGAAGAACATTTGGGAGGCTGCTCATAAACTCCCTCATGTCAACTATTACCTGTGTTTCTTTCTCGATTTCCTTTCTTCCACCTGCTTTTCGGGTTAACGAGTTTTGAGTACTCGAAGCTGGATAATCCGTAGATGAATTCGACCCCATGCAAACCCCATACTGATTCAAAGTCGTAGCATATGATAGATGAGAAGAAAGCAACAAGGAGAAAAACAAGAGGACAATGGAAAAGTCCACTTTACCAATTATTGAGCTGTTGTATTGTAACTTTGCTTCAACCAAAATGTTTGAGATTTGAATTACAAACCTGATCGACGGGAATGATCATCGTAGCCTTCTGCCTGATCAATGATTCAAACGCTCCATTTTCACGGCGTATGCTTGCTTCGAACTTCTGCACTTCTGTGGACTCATCATAGAAAAGGAAATAAACTTTCAGCTTTCTAAGAGGGTTCTCTGCTTTGTACACCTCGATTTCTCTGACGAATCCCATGTCAGGATGGTAGACAATGATCACTGACGGTTTCAAAACATCAAGTATCGGTTGATCGCTTTCCAAGGCATAGAAATGCACAGGCGGTAGCTTCTTCCTAGCACTGCTGGAGTGAACATCGTTTGCGCCTGATGTGCTTGCTTCACTAGCTTTTTCGTCATTCTCTGAGACTGATACAGTTTCGGGTTCACTGTTCACCGTTTTCGTATTGCAACTTCTAATGGATCTCCGAAGACTTGGCGATTCCTTTTTACCTTTTCCTTTGGTAGAGGAAGCCTTATCAACATGAGGCTCTGGATTCTTATTTTCAGACGCCATACCAATTGTCTTGCCTAGCTTGCGAATAGAGGACGCAGCAGCCATGAGAGCCTCATGCTCTTGTCTGCAAACACTGCTACCCTCAGAGCTCTGCACTGTAGTCACCGGAACTACTCCATCAAGAATCCCAAAACCCTTGGGAGCCCTTTTTTGTTTCTTCTTCTGCGGTGTCTGCACATTCCGGATCTCAATTTTGCTCAGCAGGTACATTTCCCACTCTTCCCGCATTACCTGCACACAAGTACACGTAAAATAAGAAAGATTGTAAAGGCCAAAGAAAGACAACGGATTTGTAAATATTTGTGTGTAGTAAGTTCTAACTGGTTGTAATCTAAGTGGACCTTTTGTGGATTGTTTGTGATGCAATCTTCAAGCTGCATGCAGGAACGTTCATCTTTGCAAGCCACGAGAACTATTCCATTGTTTTCACTGAAGTCTTCTTCTTCAAAAAGAGTCTGCTTTTTTCTTTCCTCTTGCGTCTCTTCTAAAATCCCCTGTATCGATCATAAGGAACACCATCAGGTTTAAAGCGGTTTCTTACGGCTAAATCAAAGAGGTCTAAGAACAAAGAACAAATATGGTCACTAGCTGAGCCAACTTCCATCATCAAATCAACCGTAATAGAGAAACGGCATTGAAATTGAAACTCACTCAGTCACTCACACGTAAGACTTTCCATTTTGGTGGCTCTTCTAAAACTTCTTCAAGAACAACGCCAGTAGCCACCGTTGCACTACCACCAACTGATTTCAGGTCCATTTATCAGCATATAACATGAAAGTCACTAAATGCAAGATACAACCAGTTATTAGAAATCAAGCCTCTAGTACCTGCTTCTGCAGAGGCATTTGACTTTCTCTTTTTACTACTTGTATTCTTAACATGTTCTTTAGACTTGAAATCACTTGCCTTCATGAGACGATACACTCGTTTCTTTGCAAAATCAAATATTTTATAGCTGGACTCTGCAAATAACCAAACAGATTGATAGCTCTCCGATACCCTTAGTGCATCCAAGAACTTCAGAAAACTCACAGCATCATACCTACAACACAAACCAATCAACATAACAACAATTTGCTTTTAGAAACTGCAGAAACACACCCAAACACAAATGACTTCGCATAACCACATTACTACCTAACAAGATAGTCAAGCAACTTCCTTAAAGTCTTCAAATCAGAAACAAGTTGCTTTGTTCTTTTCCCCAGAGTATGCCAGATTGGATCAAGCTGCCTCCTCACAATCTCATCAAAGGACTTGAACAAACCACTCTCTACAGTCAAATCATCCACATCCACTTTGTTCGTCTTCTTCATCTCCTTGAGGCAAGCGTCCATAACTTCAACGATTGCTTTCTGTATTCCCACCATGTAATTCGACATTGATACTCTTATATCCACTACCTCTGGCGGTTCTCTCTCCAATTCCTGAGACACATCCAATTGAAACCTAATCCAGATGAACAATTCACTGATTCAGAACCAATCAAGACTTGATTTTTTACAGAAATTGAAGTCTAATTTGCTAAACCTGGGCCATAGGTGGAGTCTGCGGAGGAAGAGAGCTCGCATTGTGCGTTCGGTTTTGGCGAAACCGGAGACCATAGATTGCGGTTTATCGGAAAAGGCGCGTACATAAGCGGAGCCATTTAGGGTTTTGACGATTCGGACGATGAAGGCTTCTGTCGAGGTTTCGGAGAGGGAATGAGCGTTGAGGATGAAGATTCCGGCGAGTGAAGAAACTGGAATCCGTTGAGTGAGGAGATCGACGATTAGAATCCGCGGCGTGATGAAGAAAGGAAGCCCGGAGGAGTAGAGCGAGTAACGCTGATTCGCCGGAAGATCGGCGGTGATTTCCGACGGAGGAGAGGAATCGAGGGAGGAGATGTAATGTAGGATTCTGGATTTGAGGGATTGAGAGGCGGGAGAGAGGAGGAGAAGTAGTGTCCCTTGGGACGGCGAGTGAAGGAGAAGAAGAGAAGCGATTAACTTAGCGAGGGAGAGACCAGAAGAGAGGATCACTAGTCCGCCATTAGAGTCCTCGAGAAGATCTGATATAATCTGCTGATGAAATTTCAGCGCCATATTGAAGAAGAAGAACGACGCAAATGGCAAATCCAAGTCGGAGAAAACATCTTACGACGACGGTTAATTAGCTTTATACGGTCGGCGAAACGTTCAAACTTCACAACGACGTCGTTTTTAATAACAAACCCAAACATTATCAAGAAGTAACACAATTTGAAACACGACCACAGGTCCCGTGTTCGAATCTTCAGAACGTCTTTTTAGTTAGACTAAAACGTAAAATCCCAATTGGTCTCTTCTCTCAACGTCTCTATGATAGTATCATTCTTTATAAGTTAGAGTCTTAGAGACAAAGGTTTTACTCTGCTTTTTATACAAAAGTTGGCCATAAATCATGTATTTTTTTCCAGATAAATTTCGATGCAACTTTTTTCTCCTGCAAGTAATCATGTAGCAACATTCCCCCTTTCTGCATTTGATGATCCTCAACGAAACCAATAATGAAGCATATATGTCTTATTAGACTTTGGTTTCTCAATTGCATACAAGTGGACAAAAGAATACAAATGAATTATATGAAGTAGCATGCCTAATCATCCACAGGTTACAAAAAGCAGCCTGGTTCTGCTTACTTTGACGAAACCAATCAATCTATAATTCTATATACACTATCTACACTGTTTAGCAATTTATGGATTGTAAATTTACTATATTTGGAGCCAAAAAAATTTGCTGTGCACATCCCTTCTTATCATTGCACTGTAGTCTGTATGTATGAACAATCGCACAGTTTCATCAAATACTAGCTACTTCACCAAAGACTGATCTCTACAAGAGCTTATCCGAGGCAGCATCTCCTTGAAAACCCGGCTCCAAATCCTTTCCTTCAAAGCAAACCAGAATCAAAGATATGAAACAATCAGGAATCATCCCAGCCTGTATTGTCCTACACACACATAGGCAACATGTTGAATGTCCCACCACAAAACTGCAACAGCTTTATCATTTTCCGTGAGTCGAATCATCACCAGAGAACTTTAAACTTTTCAAATACTATACTCTGTTCATCTATGGTGTCTGCCACCTACTTATACATGCCTCCATTTGGCAAAACCCCATCTTCTCTCATTCTCCGAAACAACACATGAGCTTCAAGCTTTAACCCTTCCCTAAACAATCCTGATATCATCGTAGTGTACGTTACAGCATTAGGCTTCATCCCTCTGGAGGAGAGGCTACAAAACAAATCAACAGCATCTCTCACTTTACCACCTTTGCACATCCCTTGAATGATGATAGTATACGTAATAATACTTATACTCATCTCTCTCTTCTGCATATCCTCAAATATCATCAACGCTTTGTCTAGCCTCCCATTCATACACAGACCATGTAACAAAACGTTGTAGGTCCTGATATTGGGAGGCACGCCACGAGAAACCATCTGACTGAAAACTTCTTGGGCCACTTTATGTTTACCCACTAGACAAAAACCTTGGATGAGAGTGGTGTAAGTGATTGTGTTACCGAGCAAACCTTTCCGAGACATCTCGTAGAAGATCTTCATCCCATCCTCTACCTTCTGGGATTTGCAATACCCATTTATGAGAGAAGTATAAGCCACAACGTCTGGAAAGCAACCCTTGGATTCCATCAAATGAAACATTTCTTTGGCCTCATCTACGCGACCTTCCATGCAAAGCCCATTGATCAACGATGTGTAGGTGAAGATATCAGGAGCTACAGACATTTGAATCATCTCACTGTACAGATCTTTAGCCTCCAGAAGCTTCCCTTCTTTCACAAACCCATCGATCAATGCATTGAAAGTGATTACATCAGGGTTTATGTTCCTTTTCATCATACCGTTAAGTAGTGTAGACGCATCGCTCCATCTACCGGAGTTACAAAGACCGTTCACGAGAGATGTGTAGGTGACAACATCAGGTCTAGTCCCATTGCTTTCCATTTGGTTGAAAAGGCTCAACGCATCATCCACAAGCCGGTTTTTGCAGAGACACTCAATGATTGTAGTGTACATCACAACATCAGGTGTGATTCCCATTGCCAACATCTGATTCACCATAGACATTGCATCGTCGAGTCTATTCCCTTGACAGAATCCATTGATCATAGAGGTAAACGTGACAATGTCAGGCTCGAAACCGAGTTTCATCATCTTCCCAAGAAATGAAGAAGCACTGTAAGGTTGAGACGATTGACAGAAGCAATTCATCAAGAGGTTGCAAGTGTAGAGATCATGTGAAACTCCCATCGTTTTCAGATGCTCGCAGAGATTGATCACAACATCAAATCTCTTCATTTTGGCTATCGTCGTTAGCAATGTAGTGAAATCGACGATGTCAGGGAGAGGACGTGACTTAACCATGTGAGTGAACAAATCCAGAGCTTCGTTAAACTGAAGAGAGTGAAGACCATTTTTCAAAATCTTCCGGTAGTCGCAAAAAGCTCGTACCCAGAAACAGAGACTCAAAAGGCGGCTAAAGGAGAGAGCATTTCCAGAATCACCTTTCTCCAATCGATGTCGACGAAGATGAAGAAACCCCATCCCCATTAACGCAATCACAGACGCACTCGATTCGGCCTCTGATTGTGTTTGTTCCGAATCTATCTCGCAGAACACGAAGAACCCTAAATCTCGAAGGTGAAGAGAGAACAGAGAAGAAGCATAATTGTTTGACTTTTTTTGTGAGAGCGTTGACTTCACATAATCAAAGGATTTGATGAGCCGAGCTAAATGGATCATATCCATACTAATAAAAAGCCCATTCTTTGAGTCGAGTTTTAAGCTTTGCTGTTAATTTGGTGTAAAATGTAATTATTTACAGTCTCACCAATAGCTGTAGACATTATCTTAAAGTTAAAGATGAATTTGTAACCTTTTGATTAGGAAGTAGAAGAAAAAGATGCAGATTACTTTTCAAAAAGTGATGATTTTTAATATAAAACTTATATATATATTCTTTTATACTATACTCTTTTGTTTGCAATCATACATTACTTCCACTATAACCTACCTCAATGTATAGAATATCGTTTTTTGTTTAGAGATCTACCAAAACAAGAATCATACACGAAACAAACCATAAAATCATATATATTAAAAGAGGTCAACTCTCTCCATATATGTGACATGTGGACACTCTTGTAATTGACACATGATAAGATTTTTCATTTTCCTTTCAGTTAATAATTTTAATTAATCTTATTTATTTGCTAAATATTTTACTTTATTGTAATTAAAATCATTTTATTAATTGAGAACTATTATACTTCAGCTTCCATCTTGAATCACTATTAAACATCTAACAAAAAGTGATGGTGGAAAAGCATAGTCTATTCCATGTAATGGTGAATAAACAAAAATAATTATAGCATGAAACATATGATAAAATGCAAAAATATACATTTAAAAGCATGCAATCACTAATCATGTGGAATTAAAATGTCAGTGTTATTATTTGGATAAGAGTATATAATATTATTCACAAATCTATAATTTTTTCCAATACATTTTACAAAATATATAACAACAGAAAAACCCGTACATATGCGCGGGCATTAGTCTAGTATAATCTAAAGAAGAAATATTTTATGGTTTGAAAATAAGAAATGCAGATTAGTTATAGTAGGACCCGTTTAGTGCGAATCCTAATCTACTTTATTAAATGAAATGGTAAAAAAACAAAGAAGAAAATCAAAAGAGTTTTTCTTTTCATGTAGTCTAGAGATTTTCTTAATTTGTTCGTCAAAAGAGAAAAGACTACTATTTAATGGAGTAGTTATCATGTAATTAATATTTTTATCTCTCTTTCTGATTTAATGCAGGTAAATACATTTGACTTTGGAAGTTTCGAAGATGATGCATGTTCATACATTTGTCCTTGAATACAATATACTATACTCTACAATTAAACATAGGGTCTGTATTAATTAATTTTACTCTCCAATTCTTTTATATTTCTCTCAAACATGCATTGTATTGGGAAAGAAATATTAAAGCATTTCATTACATAAATTAAATTGCAAATTTGTAGCTAAATAAATCTACATAAGTTTAATTTTAGGCTAATTTATAGGGCTAAATAATTAAAATAAAATTATTTTCCTTCTTTTCTAAAGAAAAAGTTAAAGTACAATTTCTTCCCCTCTACAGAAAAAACAAAAACTTTCTTTGAATCCAAGTCTCTCTTTCTCTGTCTCCTTCGTCAGTCTCTGTTACTTAAAAAACTTCATATTCCTTTGATGGGTTTTTGCTAAATAATACCCAGATTATTGTTTAAAGCATTTCCCTTTTTTTTTCTAAACATCTCAAATTACAAAAGATTTCGAGTAAAAGCTCTTTTCTTTGTTGTTAATTTTCCCCACTCAGATTCTTTCCTCCTGGAAGTTATTGAGTTTTTTTTGGTGACTTCTCAGTGAGAAATTAAAAAATGAAACTTTACATATCTTTTCTAGTGAGTCTTGTTCTATGGCTCCTCTTTGTTTCCTGCGACGGGTTTGCCTCAAAAGAAGGTATTTGATTTCTCCATTTTCTTCTCTATATAGTGTTTTTGAATCGCCAAATTTGGATGCTGAGAAAAATCTCAGAACTTTGGATTTTTTAGCCTCTATGAATGTGTTGCAACACACTTCCTCATTAGTATCATAATCACTTTCGAAGAATTTGAGTTACTTTTAGGAAGTTGAAACTTTAATTTTGCTGTGCTTGTAACAGTGGAAGCTCTTAGGAGATTCAAGGAAGCTATATACAAGGACCCTTTGCTAGTGATGTCTAATTGGAATGTCCCTGAGTCGGATCCTTGTAACTGGAACGGCATAACATGTTCTCCAACTAAGGATCATATCATCAAAATGTAAGAAACTTTGATCTCTTCCTGCATTCTTCATTGTGATGATACATGTTTTCATGCCTGTGAATCTTTCTGCAGAAACTTATCGGATACGTCAATGAGAGGGTTTCTTGTGCCAGAAATCGGTCAGATAACATACTTGCAAGAACTGTAATGTTTTGATTTCTATTGACAAACATCTACATAAAATGCAAGTTTGATGAAAGATAGAGTTTTGAATATTTGAGATGGTTTCTTTAGGATCCTGCGTGGGAACATTCTAATGGGGACAATACCAAAGGAGATTGGAAAGTTGGAGAAACTCAACAACTTAGACTTGGGAAACAATCATCTAACAGGACCCATTCCAGCAGAGATTGGGAGTTTGTCAAACATTATGATTATGTAATAAAAAGCTTCAAACTTTTGCACTGACATTTAATCTGAATATTTTCTGAGATAACCATCTCTTGGTGGTGTTTTTTTGTTAATTGTATTACAGAAACCTTCACTCCAATGGTTTAACTGGAAAGTTACCTCCAGAGATTTGGAATTTGAAGTACCTTAGAGAGCTTATTATTGACAGGAATAGGCTTCAAGGAAGTATTCCCATTGATACAACATCAGAAACGTGAGTCTGGTCTTCAATAAGATGAGAACACTTGTCGTACGTCTATTGATGGAAATGTTAAATATTTGTTCTTTTGTTTGTCTGAATTACCATCAGGGATGATTCAAATCCAAGTGAGAACATCACTGGTTTGTGCAAGTCTCCTGGTCTGAAAGTGGTGGACTTCTCCTACAACTACTTTGAAGGACAGATTCCGAAGTGTTTGGATTACCTTCCAAGGTTTAACTCTTTTTAGGATCCTTTTTATCTACTTGGATGTTACTTTATTATCTGATAATGTCTCTTTTATGTGATGGAAAAATCTTCGTAGAACGATCTTTCAAGGAAACTGCATGGAAACCGAGGACGTTAAGCAGAGGCCTTCTTCAGAATGTGGTTTGTAGAATATGAGCTTCACTTTACAGAAAGTTGACAGATTTCTTAATTTAAGTTTTCATTTTGTGAATTTTTTTTATTTTCGATTGGTTAGCTGCAGTATTGGCCAAGAAGAAGCAACGAGGATCAACTCCAGTGTGGCTTCGGAATTTTGAGATAGTCACAGGATCATCGATTGGTTTGGTCTTCCTAGTTGTAGTTTACTCTGCATTTCGCATGTGCAACATAAAGCGCTCTCTCATCTTTCCCTGGAAGAAATCTGCAAGTGAAAAGGATCACTTCACTGTCTACGTTGGTTAGAATCTTTTGGAACTTCTAAGATTTCAATACAAAAACCCCTGACAGAGCTTTTCTAGAGATGAACAAAAGAAGTTACAGAGAATTGTTTTTTTTTATTTATCTATTACAGATTCTGAATTGCTGAAGGATGTTTCAAGATTCACAAGACAGGAGTTAGAAGTGGCGTGTGAAGACTTTAGCAACATCATTGATTCTTGTGAGAATAGTCAGGTTTACAAAGGAACGATCAACGGCGGTACTGAGATTGCAGTGATCTCTCTCTGCGTTAAAGAAGAAGATTGGTCTGGCTGTTTTGAGGTTTATTTCCAGAGAGAGGTCCTTCTTCTTCCTCTTCTTCTTATGTTTATCACTCGCTCACTTGCAAGATAACATCAGAAAAATCTTTAACTGTTGGTGATTTCATTGTTTCAGGCTGCGGATTTGGCTAGATTAAACCATGAAAATGTTGGGAAATTACTTGGATACTGCAAAGAGAACACACCGTTTACAAGAATGCTTGTATTTGAGTATGCATCAAACGGGACACTATACGAGCACCTCCACTGTAATAATATACAATCAAACTTCTTCCTTAAAGCTCTGTTATTAGCACTTTTCACTAGTATGGTTCAGAGTTAAGCTAATGATATGGCTGGTGCAGATGGAGAAGGGAGCTTAGTCTCGTGGGCCAAACGCATGAAAGTTGTTATAGGCATCGCTCGTGGTCTTAAGTACTTTCACACTGAACTCGATCCTCCATTTACAGTCTCTGATTTGAACTCAAACGCAGTGTATCTCACTGAAGATTTTACTCCCAAAGTAACGTTAAACCCAGCTGTTTCCTATACAATATTACTGAGCTTTCCTGATATATATATATATATACTCTTCCTTTTTTTCTTCTTCTTTCTATGCAGCTGGTTGATTTTGAATGCTGGAAGACGATTCTCATGAGATCAGAGAAGAACTTGAGGGACATTAGTGGTGAAGGAGCTATATGTGTACTTCCTGACGCAATGGAGCATCGAGTCCTGAATTTACAAGGGAATCTCTACTCTTTTGGGATACTCTTGCTTGAAATTGTAAGCGGAAGACCTTCTTATTGCCAAGAGAGAGGCTGCTTGGTTCAATGGGTAAGTACTCTCATATACCAAATGGAAAAAAAATTCAAACTTGGCTACTCTGTAAACCAAATGGATGCAAAAGTATTGACCTTTGTATGCGTCAACAACACAACCGTGGAAGATAGTTCACTGAATAAGAATATAGTTAGACGATGAATCAAATACTCTGAATTTTGAAACCAGAATTGTGGTGCAGGCAAAGGAGTATCTTGTTGCTCCAGATGTGATGGCTAGTTTGGTGGATCCCGAGCTGAAGCATTACAGCCAAAAGGAACTCGAGGCGGTGTGTGAAGTGGCGAGGCAATGCTTGAACTTGGACAAGAATACGACTTCTTCTTCTTCTTCTTCGGCTCAGGTGCTTTGTGAGACATTAGAGAGTAGAATCAGTGTGTCCATTTCAGCAGATATCAGGTCGTCTTCTTTGGCATGGGCCGAAATAGCGCTGGCTTCGCCTTGTAATGAAGATGAAGATGAAGATGAAAGGAGTAGATACTCAAATAAACACTCCAAATCTTCCAAATAACTTGTTTTTTTTTTTTATCGTTGTTGTTGTTCATTTTGACACTGACAATTAACTTGTTCAATCTAACATTTTGCTTTTTCTTTTGTTTTGGTCCTTCCGTGATTCTAAAGTAACCTTGCCTACATATTGCTGATCATTTGAATCATATTGTGGGTTCTCGTTAGTGTAAAAGCTCGTCATATATATATATCTTGTTTCCCACGTGTCCTAAGATCTCGAATTTACGCATCATCATTCATTTTGAAAAGGGTAATTGTCGGAAAATGTACTACAAATCAAATTAAAGATTTAATCATTTTCTCATAACACTCACGGGGATATATAATCCAAATCCAAATCCAAATCCAAATACAAATTTCGGAACTGGATAAAAGTTAAACAAATCTCTCGCTTTCAAAAACCAGTTTTGGACTATTAAGAAAACTGTCAAAGTAATAAATAAAAGGAGACAGCAAGCTAAGGAGAGATGCTTATGAGTGCATATAACGAGAGTAATGGTTGTCGTTAGGGTTCCGTTTCTGGCTGAAAATGGCCAAAGCTTTTCTCACAGGAGGCTGCAATGGTGACTTCCTATCACTGTGATGGTTCATGAACACATCGTCTGATATGAAGCACTCATCTCCCTGAAACACAAACAAATCCGAAATTGCCTTGAAAATTTTTCTTCAAATCAAAAGACTACATTTACATAATAGATTGAACTTGATTGTGTATGTAGTACTAACCGGTTTGCTTGCTTTCTTCTTGGTCTTGGGATGGAGATACTTTAGAGGAAGTTGATCTTCCCTTAGAATCATATTCTTGGTGATGCCGTCTCTTCCACTTTTAGGCATTGGTATCGAAAACTGCACAAAGATGGAAGAAGATGAAATTGATCATCTATCTATAGATGCTCTGTTTGAGAGCAAGACAAAGGTGTTTTTTTTGCTTAGAACGACTGCTTACTTTCACCCCGTGAGTTGAAATACGTGGGTTACGCGCAGATATGACGGCGCCATTCTCGCTTATTCTCACTTCCACTCTGCGTAAAGTGCCGCCACTACCGCACTTGGGACAGAAAATTTTTTCAACATCAGAAGTTGTTGTGTAGCAAGCATGGCATTTCAAGATCCACCTGAAGATCCAAACGCAATAAAGTGTAAGACATCTTTCTCAGCTAATGAAGCATGCAAAAGAAAAAGTGTCAGAATCTGAATCATCAAGTGTACCTGTTTAGTTGGCGAATCTGCATTCCTCCGGGAGCAAGCAAACGCAAACCCATTTGAAGAATAACATTTTGCATTGCAAAGTCACCGGTAATACAAGCTACACTGGACTCAGATAAGGCTCTCAACGACCAACTCTGCTCGCTGCTACCATCATCTGCCATCGATGATGCCTCAAATGTCTCCCCAGCCTCACTCGCAACGTCGATCCCCTCAGCTTCAATATCATCCTCACCATCAATTAAAGCAGTTTCAGCACTCGCCTCTTCTTGGAGAGACTTTAATGAATCTTCCTCCAACCTCATATCTTTAAGGACGGAAGAAAGATCCTCGTCATTCTTTGCACACTTGTCATCAGTTGAGTTCTCAGTCATGTTACCACCAGCTTTGTCAGCTTCAAGATCTTGCTGCATATCTTGTTCAGCCAAGGCACTGTAATGTTCCCACTTGGCCTTTCTTCTAAGATACTTTCTGTGAGTACTCTTACTAACCGCAGGTCTCCAGGCACCACCAGCATCGTCATCATCACATTCGCCTTTCGACGCATCTACTCCCTCCACTACCATCTTACCCTCAAGCTTCACCTCTGTTTTCTTTGGCGGGTATCGCTTCTGCCTCCTCTCACCTTCTTGCTCATCTCCTTCTTGATGCGACACAAGAGAACCAGCCTCAGAACAGGTGTCAGAGGGAAGGATATTCATGTTAAGGTCTTTAAGCGGGAGGATTTTGGAGTTTGGATCAGTTTTTTCCTCGGTCTCGTCTTCTAATGCTTCCCACTCCTCCAAGTTGGCTACATTGGATCCCCAACCAGGTAAATCCTTCTCAGGTAACCTCTTTACTGTAACAGTTTGAATCGGTGGAGGAACCTCTCTGAGATGTTCCGTGCCATGAACCTGAGCCTCGAGCGTGTATGTCAAAGCAATCAGTTTTCGATCAACCTTAGAGAGCGTTTGCAAATCACCAGTAGCTCTAGCAAATTTCTCAACTGCAGGAAGAACAATAAAGTCAAGCGTCAGAGATACAAGATAATCCATCTTCAGCACAACATTAGAGATTTGTGAAATCGATCCAAATTTCACCATACAATTTCAAAATAACAAGCTCAAACAAATCAAAAACGTACATTTTCTACAAATTACACAGAAGCAGGGTTAAACTTGATCATCGAATTCAAAACCTTAGTTGCGAAATTGAAGAATTGTGTACCTCTGCTGAGAGAATCAGGAGAAGGTTCCATCTCTTCGATAGTAAATGGGAGGAGGTAGTTGAGACGGTGGCGAGAAGCTGCGTCTTTAACCTCGGAGATTACTTCAGGGACGGTTACGAACTTGTCGGCGAAGTTGGTTAAGTTCTGTCCTCCATGAATGATGGCGTTGGCATCAATCACCGCAATAGAGATTCCCTTTGTGGATTTGCAGCTTCCGACCGTCCCGAGAATCGCTGCCGGAGCTCCATCGGTAGCCGGAGGCTTCGTAGGAGGGTCTTTCTTCACTATGGAACTCCACATCGTGGTTGGATTCGGATCCATGGTTTGGAGTTTCGTTACTTGCCGCTCTAATGGAGGAGACTGAGAGAGAGAGAGAGAGAGAGAGGCGACGAAAGAAGAAGAGAGGAAATAACCTAGCGCTGACACAGCGTCGTTTTGCTCACTTGTTTAAAATGGGCCTCATGCAGGCCCAAACAAATAGGTTTAGATCATTTGTTTTATTAAAATTTTAATCCTTATTAAATTTGTGAAGTAGAATTAGTTATAAACAAATCTAAGATACTTTTTTGTTTCTTTCACTTTTTGGTTTTCTTAGTTTTCACTATTTTTTATTCTCTTCATAGTTCATACTACTTGTTTAATAAGAGTGTCCATTAAGTATTAACACACTATAGCATTTGGTTCACAAAATAATAAAAAATGCTTTGATTCACATTAATTAGGATGTAGAAAGAAAAAAATCCTTTACAGTTCCCTCCAGTCAAAGGTACTAATAACTTGAATCAAAGCATTTGAACGTGAAAGGCTGCTAAGGTTCTTCGTGTGATAGCTATTGTTTGTTCGAAAGAACAATATCATGACATGGTCTACAAAGAAAAGCGAAGGACCATGGAACATTCCACAAGACAACAAGACAGATGATAAAGTTGTTTGAGATTTGTAGTAAAAATGTTAAGATTCTCTTAACAGAATTAGAAAGTAGATTTGATTAATTTTTGTTTGTGTTTTTTACTAACTTATTAAAAAGACAAACACAAAAGTTATAAAATAGATGGTGCCAAACCCAAATCTGTTCCAGGGAACTTTTTTCCACAAATGCCTTTAATGACTTCTGTATTGACAGCTTTGGAAGGAAGGACAAGCAAGAGGCAGTCAGGAAATATTGATCTCACTGCTTTGCAACAAATTTCCGACAGATATCTTTCATCATGATCCGCCGCAAATCTCACCGCCTTGAAACATCCCGTCACTTTATCTATCGCCGTAATCTTCGGACATATGGACGTATTCGACTGACTCTGAGCTTCCAATGGTCGGAAAATCAACGCTGAGATTAGGGTTAACAAGAAAAACATCACACAGGTTTGGTTTTGTTTCATTTTTGACAAGACTAAAACAAAAAGATCGATTTTGTCTAGGTTTGGATTGTGTGATGAGATATTTGTTTCTTGTAGATAAATAGAAAAAAAGAGTTCTAATACTTAGTCGTTATGTTGGAAATTTTGTTATACATATAGAAAAGATACGTAGAGAAAGTATGACTTCAAGAAACCAAATATATTTGGAAAGTTTATATATTTGTTTGAACGATATGAAGATATTAAAAGTCAATTATGTAACGCTATCATGGAAAGTGTATATAAGCTCTTTCCATTGTAAATCTTTCTTCTCTCCAACATGAGGAATCAATAATGTATATAGCATATCCACACTATTGAGGGGAAATAAATAAATTTTATCACTTAACCGATTTCTTAAGATCAAAAAACTAATTACAAGTTTACAACATTTTGATTGGAGTTAAAGACAAATATATAAAATGGTTTGTATTGTTATAGAGATTTGATGTAAAGTTTTTTTCTTTCGATTGAGTCAAGAAACTCGACTTTGCGAAAAAGTGATTATTACATTCCTTGTTTTGATTACAATGGGGATAACCGACCGACAAATTTATTTAAATATTCCACAAGACAAGACAATGAAACATGGTCTTCAAACAAAAGCGAATTGGACAATGAAACATTCCACAAGACAAGACAGATGATACATTATTGTTTGCAATTTGTAACATGTAGAGAGCGAATTGGACAATGAAACATTCCACAAGACAAGACAGATGATACATTATTGTTTGCAATTTGTAACATGTAGAAATTACCTTTGATTTTTTATTCTTTTTAACTATCTCATTAATTAAAAAGACAAACGCAAGAATTATACTCCAAATAGTTGGTCCGAACTAGTTAAGGTCTCGGGAACTTTTTTCTACAAATGTCTTTGAAGATTTCTGTATTGACAGCTTTATTAGGATCGACAATCAAGAGGCAATCAGGAAGGAATGCTTTCACTGCTTGGCAACAAAGTTCTGTTAGGAATCTCTCATCCCCATACGCCGCTAATCTCACCGCATCAAAACATTTCGGCACCAAATCTAACGGGTTTTTCGTCGGACATGTGAACGTAGCTTCCAATGGTCGGAAAATCAATGCTGAGATTAGGTGTAACAAGAAAAACATCACATAGATTTGGTTTTGTTTCATCTTTGACAAGTTTCAAAGAAATAATCGATTTTGTGTAGGTTTGGATTGTGTGATGAGATTGATTCGGGTAAATATATAGAAAAAAAAGACTTCTAAACTTAGTCGTTAGCTAGGTTGGCAATTTTGTTATTCATATAGAAAGTTTGAACAAAAAAGAGTTTGAACAAACACAGAATATATCTGGAAAGTTTATATACTTGTTTGACCGATAGGAGGATATTCAAAAACAATTATGTGATGTTATCAAGGAAACTGTATATTAGCTCTTTCCATTGTCAATCTTTCTTCTCTTTAATATAAGGAAAATTATTAAATATTAAGAATCAATAAAGTATCTCCCTCTTCGAATCCATGTGACCATGTTAAATACTTAACCGATATCTTAAGATCGTAAAGTTAAATACTTACAGTTACGTGTGAATCAAGAAACTGGAAAATGGAGTTTGTATTGTTTATAGAGATCTGATGTGAAGTTTGTTTTCTGTGTGGAATTTATTAATTCTTATTAGGATTTATTATGATTTTTCTTTCTGTATGAAGATTGATTGTGTGTCAAGAAACTCGACTTTGGGGAGAAAAAAGTGACTATTACATTCCTTGTTTCGATTACAATGGGAATAACCGGCCGAGTTATTCAACAAACCAACGATCCGTGAAACCGGTTTTGCGTAACCACGATTCAATTTTTTTATTCTTACATTTTAGATTGAAAACCCGGTTTAGATATGGTTCCCATTTCCCGCTGCTTCTGAAATCTTTCTTTGGCTTTGAAAAGGATCTCATGGGCCTCATCAAAGTGAAGCATTGTCGCCTTTCTCGTATTCTCAATCCATTCTTCAACTCTCTTATGAGGACTGAGAAGTCTAACACGATCTTTCTCATCCAAAACCTGCAAGATTGCATTCACAATCAGAAGCTAAATTCAGCAAGAAAATGTTCTTTTTGTATGTGTGTGTGTGTGTACCTGCAGCTGCATGAGCTCGCAAACGAGGCTAAGATCAGCTATAGATGGTTGGTTGCTTCCAAGCAAGAACTTAGCATTGCCCTTAAGCCAAAAAGTCTCTAGAGTGGACAGAGACTTTGCTAGTAGCTTCTCAGCTTTAGCAGCTGCTAGCGAATCTAGAGGAAGTCCGAGAGATGGAGCTAAAACACTATTCAGAACATATCCAGCTGAAATTGTAAAAAAACAACCTTAATCAACAACACGAAGCTGTCATTTTATTTCTGAATCTATATGAGAATAATGTGTATTACCTGCACCAGGGCGTAAATTGGTGTGATGCCAGTCCAAGACTGAGTGAATCTTGACTCTTGTAGAAAGATCACTCGGGTACCTAATGTAAACAGAGCGAATATTAAAGTTAAGAATGATCACACTTTTGCGTCAAGAACATGTGTTAAACGAGTACAAACATACCAATGATGAGCTACACTTGGGAATGCTGAAGCAAGATAAATTAGAATGGCGTGACTGTAAGAAGATATCACCGGTTAAGATTCATAATCAATGGTTAGATAAAAGAAGCAAGAATCCAAAAGATCAAGACTTTTGTTGTTTAACCTCTCGAAGAGCTTAAGCCTGCCATCAACAATAGCTGGAACTTTCCCCAATGGGTTAATATCTGAGAAACAAAGACACAATTCATATGAAATCTCTGCATTTCTTAACGGCAAAGACCAAACCAAGACAATATTTCCATTTTCAATCACGATTTCAAGAAGAACATTTCCTCAGGTTATTGTTCTTGAGGAGAGCTCAGATACCAAAACACAAAATTTCTCAGAATCTCAAGCATTTCTTACAGTTATGCTCTGTTACATAAGGTTTAATAGATAACTATAATCCATTTTCAACTACAGTTTCAAAATGAACTTAGTCACAAGGATGGATAGAGAAGCCTTTTTCCCAATATTCAACATTGAAACACCAATTTTGGAAGATTTTGTCGAGCTCTTCAGTAGGGATATAGCCAAATTCTACAGTATGAAGCTTCTCACACACACAACCAGGTCCAGTGAACATAAATCTCTCAATACTCAATTTCTAAAGCTGATTATAGATTACTCATACTTGTGCAAGCTAAAGCAACTCTTAATCGAAATCACCCATGTGAAATTTCATACGAGCACTAAACATTTCTGCATAAATTACGAACCTTTGAATTCAGGGGATAATTGCTGACGTTTCGCCAGGGAAATCAAAATCTCAACGAACTGGATTCCGTTAACCCTTGAAAAAAAGTATAAGAGAGAAAAATCTCATGTATAAGAGAGAAAATTAGAAAAGGCTGAATCTCGAATTAACAAAGGAAGGAAGAAGAACTAAATTACTTGCAGAATATGATGACAGCACGAGACGGCTGTGACATCCGATCTGCGTACACTTTGAGCTTCATCATCTTCTTCTTCTTCGTCTGATTTGTGGATCAGAAAGTTTCAGGACACACTGAAGAAGAAGATCTCACGAACAAGTTTGCTTGCTGTTCCCAAAATACACTGTAAGCCTTCGTGCCGTTAATTATTTACAAAACGGCAAACCGTTTTGTTTTTACCCATAAACACAAACGAACATATCTAGTCGGTCCCACATGACTGCATGTATATCAGTGTATATCAAACGTATACGTAATTACGTACCGGACCAAACAAAAATACAGAGAATTGTTTTTTTATTCAGTTTTTGAAAAAGATAAAAATTCTTATGTAAATGATTCTAAAATAAATTACATAAACCATATATACTTTAAAATAAATTACCGTCGCACTCGAATTTAGACTTGACATAATATATGTTGTTGAAATGCTCAATAAGATCGTTTGATCGAAAGCTAAGTAACAGTTCTACCAATATGTTTTTGAAAAATCAAAATGCTAACACTTTTTGCTTTCTTGAGAGCAAATATTACAAAAATCTAAACCAACTTATTGATTTTCCCAAGTAAATTATCAAAAGTAATATCAAAAGCATCTCGAAACTTTTCGAACTTCGCATTAGAGTCTCCATAGACCAAACCAGGCAAAAGCTGATGAATAATGTAACTTCTCATACTCTCTCTTTCCTTTAGAGTCTTCGCCATCAATTTCTCAACCACGTTTACTCTCTTTACCTTCACATCTTCTTGGTCTATATACACAGAGTATCTCTTATGATCCTCCGGGAGATGCCAAGCGTACTGATAATATGCAGTGTACGGATTAAAGATCACCGGAATGCAACCGGAGATTAGCGAATCGAAAACCGATTTTCTCGTTGGACTATCTCCTGACGGCTGCAGACAGAACTCAGAGTCTTGAAAAAGCTTTATGACGTTTTCAGGCTTGTCACAACTTCCATTAGAACAGTTTAAGAACCGGCATTGGTCGGAAAAAGATTTGCATTGTTCGATAAGCGCTGACCTGATGCTATACGGGTTGCCGGGTCTTGCACCTCCGGCGAAGCTAATTAGATTCCGCCGAGGTTTGCTCGTCATTTTGATCTGCCAGCTGGTGATATCGTCGTCCGTTTTAGGGTGGAAGTAAGTCGGATGCGGGATTGCGACGTCGTTGACTTCCCATGGATGTCTCTCGATGAGAAGTTTTGTAGGGCTTTGCATTTCTTGTAACTCAAGGAACCTTGAGCCCCAAGGAAGCTTATTTCTTCTAAAATCCCAAGAAATCTTGCCGAGGACGAAGACTGTAGAGAAACCAACACCGATAGTGCTTAGCACTAGCCCAAGACCGTAATACCCGAGAAACCCGAAAGAAACAATAAACCCTCTAAGTATGAAGAGAAATATGGAAGAACACAAGAGAATACTTGAAAGACTTTTAAGAAGAACAAGAGAGAACTTAGCTTTAGAACACTCTTTATTAACTTGTTCAATTTCTTGT